AAAACCCAAGAACAAGAATTTTGCATTCATGTCATACATGAAGGAAGAGGGGTGAACAGTTATGGGCATAATGGGAACATCTTTACAAGCAGACCAAGTGACTCAGTAAGTCCCAACTAACTATGAAGCACAAATAAACAGACAAACAAACATATGAACAAGCGAACAAACAATATTACTTTCACCTGTAATTTGTTTGACATTTAGGATAAGAATAGTATGTCTCATGCCTAGCTGTTCCACTTTGTATTATTTGTGCATCTTGTAGTTCCAAGGTATGAAGCATGTCTGTTGTTTGTCTTCTCCCCACCTTCTATGTGGTGTCCCTGCCTATGAACCTGGAGGTGAATAATTAGAGGCACCTGATTGTTTATTATGGCTAATGATGGCAGAAATACCTGGCTTCATCTCTACCTTGACACTAAATGAGACTGTGTGTTATGTTTTCTCTGAGAGGTGTACCTTGAGGACTTCCTCTGTCACTATCAGCTTCTATCTGAAGAACCCTGGGGGATCCCTGGAGGATTTTGCTTTTGGCTGTGAATGATATGATATACCTTCTTTCTTATCAAAAAATGTACAGATGGCTGTTTTGAATTCAGCAGAAAGGTGGAAAAGCAGAAATTGTAAACATTTCTGATATGATGGTTCTGTTCAGGATTGTTTTAATTCACACATTTAGAGTATAAGAGGTATCTTCTGCATCTATAAGTTTGTTATGATGAGTGGCAAGTTTGGATTCACTTCACTGAGTTTCAAGTAGAAAAATCGACTTGACATTTGGAAGTTGATTTTTTGCAGCATGGTGATCACTTACTGCTTGTTCATGTTCAGGGTTGGTATAGTCACACAGGGATCACTGCTGTAGGTAGTGCACGTGTTAATGAATGCTTCACAGACAACACACCCAAACAAATATACCTCCACCACTGGAGAGGTCACTCTGAATTTACCAAAATGATCAAATCAGTTGGGGTTCTTCTACCTGATTTCGATTGAAATGTAAACCTTGATAAAGCACAAAATGACATGTTTTGATATGGTTAATTTTGGATCTTCTGCTACTTTTTGATGCATTATGGGGATTACGAAAATCGTCTGCTCAATATGGAGTGCATTATGGGAACTCAGGTTACCAACTGTTGATGGAGGTAGATCAAGACGTGATTTTAAATGTGATGAAATCAAATCAGAAAATCAGTCTTAGCCTGGTGATTGGAATAATAAACTTTTGAGTCCTCTTTGAACAGGAGTTCTCATGTATGTACTTCATGGCTAAGTTTGTTGATATACCCAGTCAATGCTGCCTTCTGAGGACATCTTACCCTTGTGATCCAGTTATAGTTTATCTTGGCAAATTTTCCTCCTTTCCTTTTCCTTCACTTGTTTGTGGACATATGATATACAATCTTTATATAACTTCACTTATGTTAAGACAGCATGGTGAAGTTTATATAAGTTATATTTAATAGCCTCCTTCAATTTGTTTAAAAACATATGAGCATTTTTCGCCTTTTCTATGCTTTTCTGGTAATTGCACATGTGAATGGCCAGATGTGTTGTCATCTAATACAGTGGGAACACATGGCTGGATGACTGGCTGGTTGTATTTATATGGCCACTATGGGGACACCCTCATCATGTTACTATGTTGTTTTAGTATGGCTGGAGTCAGTGGTGTACTTAATTTGTTCTCTCTGGAGACATATAGTTATTGGGAGACATTTTAATGCTGTGTTAGTCATATCCCAAGCTTATCTGATGGTTATGGGATATACTGTTGAACAACATTTTTTGAGTGGATTCAGATTATGGAAATGATTTGTAGTACAGTATATTGTATTTTGGGGAGACTGACTTACTCAAATAAAAAATACATCTCTATATAACATACCTCTCATTATAATGTAATATAGGTCATGTTGTGGTAACCTGGAGTAGTAGCTGTCTGAGATGATGAACTATGTTATCAAGAACACTTGATCTAAAAGTTAGAAATAGCCAAAGTCTCAGTAGAGAAACACTAAACCTCCTTGAAGATGCTGGATATTTCTGGTAACTCTGTGTATATTTGATAAGATTGTATGGTCAGCCTTGTTAAACACAAGACTCTTTCATCTAGACCAAGATATCCTTGTTCTACAGTTCTGCTTTCCAGATTCTGGTAGACATCACGGAAAACAAAATGCTCAAAAGGTCTAAGGTTTTATATGGGATGTTTCTGTTTTTCTACAGTGATTCTCTTCTGTGATAGTTTTTCTATTGATGTATTCTTTTGTAGTTTTTCTCGACCTCCTGTCGGGTTTGACTGTGATGTCATAACAAGATTACAAGCCTGAACAATTGTCATAGAATGATATTGGATGCTGAGGAATCCACTCCCCAAGTGATCTATAGAGCTGATAATCATAGTTGATCTCTCTAGTGGGAATAGAAACAACATTAAGATCATGTCAAATCTCACATCAGTTCTGTAGTGTAATTACAATAGATTTCTTCTTGTATGGGAATTGTCCTGCACAATATCATTGTGACAATCACATTTGCGTATTGGAAATAGTTTTACTTATAAATCATCTATATTTTTATAATTATATCGCTCCTTCGGGACTCTCTGAAGGATTAATATTTGTTGGGGGAGCCCATCCACTCTGTAACCATAAGTCAAAGGGGAGATCTGGGTTCTCTGGTTCTCATGGTATATCTTTAAAAACATTATATATTAAGATGGAAATTAGAAAGTAATTTAGTTTTTTAATGAAAAAGAAAATTAATTTTCATAATTAGCAATTCTATAAGGATTATATTCTTCATATTCTGATGAATCATGGGTATGTCTGGCATATTTTCAGCATTATGGGTAATATAATCCCTCTCTGTGATATAACTTAACAATGCTTCATGCACCATAAAACGCAATGATTTTATTTGTGTTAACAAATCATTGATCCACTTACAGTTTGATTGACTGTACAATTCCACTAAATTCCTTACTACATTCCTATAGTCTTTAACTAATCCTTTACAAGCAGAAATTGGTCCTCGGGGAACAGGCAATTTATCCTATTTTCTCCATTTGCTCCAAGCCTAATACACTCAGCTCAATACGCAGCAAATTTTATTAATCGCTGAACAACAATCATCCTTTGATGAAATTACTCTTTGGTGAAATCTTAAGTTTGTATGTTTATTTTGTTCCCTCTGTGAAATCACAGCAATAAAAAAGAAAACACAAATAAAGTTGATTACTTATTTTCAACAAATCAATTAATGTATATGGATAATTGTTCTTTTTAAATCTTTATTTTAAGAAAAATATTTTGATATCTTAGGAATTGTTCTGTTGCAAGAACGCGTTTTCTCATTTGTTCGCTAAAACAGCCATTAGGTTTTATAGTATTGTTTCTGGTGTTTATATAACCTTTGATAAATTGCATTTAATGAACCATGGAATTTGAATTAATATGTCAACTTTTGGAATGTATTATGGTATATTGGTTTTTGTCTTAATTTTTGGTCATGATTGGTGTGGTGTACTTTTAAAAAAAAGAATGTTGTAGGTTTTTTGTACAAAACATTTTGTTACTTGTAAGCACTCTATTTAGACGCTAAAGATCACATCACTCATATCTCATTTTTCATTTGCTAAGATAAAGTTGTATTGTTAAAAAACAAACGCCTAATCCTATAAAGCCTTCTGATATTTCCGCAAATCCTTCTGTGTAAGTGTTCATGCTACCGGCTACAATCAAACGCGTAATAAATCATAAGTAAAGTGACTCATCAATAGATTATTGTATTTTTATGCCAGTTTGGATCAATGATGTTTTACTTCCCATTCTAAGATTCCTCCCAATCTATCAAACTTCAATATTGTATGCTCTTATGGTACTTTAGCATGTTTTCCCATCATAGTGACTTTGTTATTGTCTCTTGATAAGGGGTTTGGGAAAATGTCTCTTAAAACTCACTTTTTAATTTCGGTCAATCATTTGTTGACACTTTGGGATCTGTTTCACGTTACAGTAGTTTTGATGAGAATCATCTTTTGGTGAATTTTGCACAGGGGGATACCTCTGTTCTGTTTTCTCGTGAATTTTGTTGTAAAACATTCTTGTTTTTTCAATTAGAGATGAAGTGTTATGGGTTAACATACCTCCGATAATTGTAGCTTGGTGAGAATTTGATAGAATAATTTGGAGAGAATCTGAAGAAAAACATTAGAAACTGTTTCTGTGTTGAAGACAGAATCTCATTAGGTAACTTTTAGCTGCAAATGGATGGTTGATTGATTTCTCAAGCTGAAAATTTTTGGGATTCCTTTTTTTATTGAGAACCGTATTTACTCTCAGAGGATATCTGAAGTCTATTGCCCCAGGTCATGAAGATGCAATCGCATAGCGTTTCATGTTTCACCTCCAATATTGGGAAGGTCTTTAAAACAATAGATCAAGGCGTAAAAATGTGTATTAGCAAATGAGGTTCAATAATCCAATATATATGTTTGTTCACGTTTCTTAGAAAATTGAATAATTGATGTTTCAAAGCTCGGGTATCATTAAACTCCTATTGAGGCATCTGAATCAAGAAGTGTTGCTTAAAATACTTTCTTTGTTGTTTTATATTATTGCTTATGGTTTGGAACATGTACTTGTTGAAGCTTATCAGAGATACCGGTTATTGAAGAAATATAATTTTGTTTATGAAATATGCTGTTTAGTACAATTGAATAAATATATAACCAATAATAAAAAGTGACAATGACCTGAACAAAGTCCCTCATCTGCAAAAACAATTTATTACATTTCAGACTGATCCTCCTCCCTCCGCCTTATTAATTATATTTGTAGGCATACATCGATGTATTGGACCTGATCCTAAACAGCTCTGGTATGCGATGCCTGCTATTTACTTATAATTGTTGCATATGTAGAAATATTTATCATTCAATACAAATTGATTGAACCCATTTTGTAAGAATTGTCCTACTGTGTTTTCAGACCTGAACAAGAATTTTGAGCGAGAACCAATCAGTGTCGCAGCGGAGATTGAATCTCCAGTTCAGTTACTATGTCTTCCACCAGATGGCCTTCCTCCACCTGAGGTAAGTAAAACCTACAATAGGTGGCGCTGTAGTGCTATTACTTTATTTGTACGAACATTTGTTAGTTGAAAATGATAAGATGTGATGAGTAGCAGAATGTTACATGTCAAAAAACATTTATTGCATTGCTCGTTTTGCAAATACAGATCTTTTTCTAATATTGGGTAGAGAGTATATAAAGCTAGAGAAGTCACAGGAAGACATGTTTTAGAGCCTTTGCCATGATTAAAGCCTTTCAAATGAAAAGTGTCCACTCCTGTACAATTCTGCCTTGTTGACTTTCTCCCACTTGTCACAAAGAACTCAAGCAGTGATTTATTACATTACATGTTCCAACATACCAACTCCTATTGATTCTGGTTGAAATCCATCAAACCAATAACTCCTGAACAAATCAAGAAATGGCACACTCAGCAGTTATGTTGAGATTAAAAGCATTATGCTGTGGCCTGCTATTTCAAGTGGTTCAGTCTGAATGCACTGCAATGTTTGGAAGAATTATGGAGATGAATAATTTCAGTATTTCAACACATCTGATTTTCCTCTTGAGTCTGTCTTTCTCATGAATTCTATATCTGTATGAAGATCTAACAATGTCAAAATGGAACTTTGAAGGAGTAAATCTCTCAATGTGCAAACTTGAGTCAACGTGGTCTCTTAGCATTACTAGTTCACTATGTTCAATAAAGCACCATTAGATGAAGCCATGGGCATGAAGAAATTCTTCAACTCCATAGCAAAAGGCATTTATTTTTGCGGATTAAAAATTCTGCACACCTCCTCTCATCATTAACATCCTTTACCTTCTTAAGAAAGGGAATCTCTTTATAATTCCATTATATGGAGTTATGTTCTATGGATGCTTCCAATATAGCAAAAATTCAAAGATGCACCACACTTAAGAATGACGACAACCCTCCATCAAGACACAGCACCTAAGAAGGAAGCAATTGCACATGCCAAGAAACCTTAGACTTGTTATAATAGTCATGTCTCACATTTTGGAATTTACTTGCTTATTATAGAATGGTTGATTAGTTCTGTATGTTTTGACCATGTTTTCAACCATCTGAAGTGGTCTCCAACACAGTGTAGATCCACTTGTCTAGATTCTTCCTAATTTTCCCACAACACAGTTTTGTTCTGCTTACTTTTAAGGTGAATCCTAATATCAGAACATTATGTTATCAAATGATCTGATATTCTGTTTGGTTTCTCGATATGAGAAGAGTAGATGATTTACCATCTCACATTATATATGGCCTCTGGTATACAAATGTTTACTCCAATAAGTTATTTTATAAAATAAATAGAAAATTGTCAGTTTTGTCAACATCAGATTTTAAAGACAAATTATTAGGTCAAGCTTCAAGTTGGATTTCACCTGTTCTTTGTTCTGTTTGGTATTCGGCTTATCAATAACTTTATGGCTGTTATGGATATTGATGGTGGCATCTTATCATGAGACTCATTTGAAGTTTGCATTTCTCACATTTTTACTTAGAAGAATATTGCAAATATCTCGATAATACTTCTGATAAACATGGTACATTTTGTTCTAATTAGCTTTGATGGTATCATCAAAATGCTGACCACATTTCCTTATTTGACACATGACAGTTGCTGTTGCAAGTATGTTCCCTATGGGGGTCACATATTTTAATCCAGGGGGTACACCAAAAGTCCCAACAATTTCTGTTAAGTGCTCAATCAGGTGTGGTTAGTAGGTAACTCAAATGATGATGATGATGATAAACAGGAAAATGATACAGGAGTTCACAATGGGGGCTCACAATGGCAGACTTGATAAGACAAAATATGGGTCCACAGGGGTAGATAGTGGTATATGATCCAACCTTCTCACAACTGGTCAGTTCATTATTCACCTCTGGGGAAATATATCTGGATAATTTAACACTGATCTGCTTTAGGTGTGGAAACATCATGCAGAACTTGTGTAATTTCACGATTAGTCAACAATTCATAATACTTGTAATTTGTGTAATAAGTATGCTATGATGGAGAGAATTGCCATGTTTTCCAATATTTTCTGCCTATGAATATCCCTGGATTTATCAGATGGGTAATTAAACACCTCATCTTCTCATGAAATGAAATAGATAGGGACTCAATGTCCAGAGATGAAGACTATATAGATAGGACTGGACAACTACTAAAAGTAAATCAATCAATCATCACTTGAAAATCTGATTCAATAGTTGCTGATATTATGCCATATTATTTTGTATTTTTGGATCATTGTAGTTGGTGCAAACTTGCTACAGCCCTTGTAAATTGTCTGTGGTCCTTGTGCATTCTTCAACAGAACATTGTTCTTGGAATGGGTTGTGCTCTAATGATCCCAGGAAGCATAAAAGGGATCTGGAGAATGATATCAGTGTTCACAACATTCATGTTCTAGTTGGCACTTTCTTCTATCCTCCATCAGTCTGGCCTGTGCTTAAAATGCCTCTCAGATATGCCTGTCTTTAGGGCTTCCTCTCTAAGTTGAATTATACAGTTGATATCTTCAATATTCTTTACAATTCAAAGCCTTACCTACATGCTTGTTTGCTTTGTTGCTTCCTATATCTCTATCTTCTGGTCTATTTCGAGTTTAAAGGCATGGTGTTTGTTATATTTTTCCTATCCCCTCCTAGAGTCTGGGCAGTATTAATGTAATTCCTACCGACACAGATTGCTTTGTGATAGAAAAATGAGCTAAAAAATCACCCCTTATTCCTTAATCAGTTACCTCCTAAGAGCAGTTAGTCTGAAATCAGATGCAACCATCTTAACAGGAAAATCATGGATCGTGGAGAGCTCTGTGTGGCTCTGTTTTCTTGGCATTTGAATTAAAATAGTTGATCTTCTGATGTATATAAAGGATTAATTGGAGTAATGAATCTTGTGATATTGTTTATAGGGGTTTAAACAAATTTGAGTTTTTGTTGAATGGCGAGTTCATAAACTCACCTAAATGCAGCCGAAAAATAAAATCAGGTTTAGGGTATACAATACTCAAAAGATGATTAGATTGAATATGAGAATCTCAGTTGACATACAGATATTTCATGATTTGATACACCTTGGACCAAATGATAAGATACTAGGAAAACTTATCAACTTTAGACAAACATATTATGCTCACAATCTGCAAGTATCTTATAGTTTATCAACAAAGTGTGTATGGTGTTCAGATAATAGGATTAATAATTGTAAATAGATGACGAAAGTGCAAGTTATCTTGTTGCTAATTCTGTAACAATTACAAATGTAACAGTACAACTTTCTCTTGGTCTTAAGTCTGCTTGTTACATTTAACTATTTTTATTGCATTTGCCTGTATTTATCACATTTACCTGTGTTGTTCACATTTACCTGTGTTGATCATATTTACCTGTGTTGATCACATTTACCTGTGTTGATTACATTTACCTTTGTTGATCACATTTACCTGTGTTGATTACATGTACCTGTCTTAATTACATTTACAATATAATTGAGTAATTGAGTAAAATACAATATGAAAAATATAAAAATATTATCTCTGTGTTGCAGGTCTTTTGGCTGAAAGATGGAGAACCAGTGGATGTATCTACAGATGTCAACTACATCATCTCCAATGAGGGCAACCTCATCATCAACCAGGCTCGCCTCAGTAACATGGGCAATTATACTTGTGGGGCTCAGAATGTTGCAAGGCGTCGTACCAGCGGCAGTGCCACTGTCACTGTATATGGTAAGCCAGTTATTATATTTGATAGCACATATTTATTCAGTTGCAAAAGAGTTATTTCACCTACTGCTTTAATTTTTAGTTGTGTGTTTTGTATTTATCGTTTTCTCAAGTTTCTTGTTTATTATCAGTATTTCTATTTTGTTTAACGATGTCAGCAAAATCATTGAAACATGTCTATTTCAGTGTACTAAAATGTGTACCTGTTAATATATGTAACTGTTATCCAATGGTCATGATTGTAAATGCCGTAAACCTGATAATTTTTTCTAACCCAGCGATAATAGCCATCTGCTTTGAACAATTTCTGATCAATTGCAAATATTTTACACGCAAAGAACTCATCGTAAAAACACACCTTTGATAGGACAGGATCTGGTAGAATTGAGAAATTGGGAAATGTGGTTATAGTGATGATAGTCCCATATTTTCAACAAGTTCTTTCTCCATGTTCTTATCATCAACAAAAGTGAACTAGACAAATTATTTGATGCTCATGTTTAATGAAAGAATCTTGAGGGCCTCTGGACATATAAGATTACTGGTAAACAGAATCCTACTTTCCAAGATTTACGTGTCTATGGCTGAGCTCTCATTTAACAGATACAGAAAAAATTCCAAATGTTTTTTCTGATACTGGCCAGAAGAGAGATCAAGTGGATGATGTTTAGTTAAAGAAAAAGATCAAATTCTTCCAAGTCTTTTGGCTCTTTAGACTTCCAAATGAACTCAATCTAGTTATACTCTCAGGCTGGAACACTTGAGATTCATCCATTGCATACAGAACAGCTTCGCATGAATCAAAACTTGCCTTGTTCTGATTGGTAAAATGTATATATGCAACAGATCCCAGGGGTATTCTTGAATCTCAGGCTCAATCTCATGTGAAGCCTTGGAGGTCATGTTTTCAAGAATAGAATTGAGTGGAAGAATGTAGAACAAAGAAGGAATTAATAAGATAAATAGAAAGTCAATACTGTTAATTGTATAGAAATATGAGAGAAAGCATGGAAACAGGCATGATAATTTGTAGACTTGAATCACTGGGTGCAATTTTAGCTGTAGTTTATGTAAAGGTTTTGGCAGGTTAGGCAGCATATTGGTTTGGATGTCTCTCAACACTCGGATTCTTCAGCATGTGTTTGCTGCATCTGTCATACAACTCACCTTTCAATTCACAGCAGACGGCACACAACATCAGAGTTTATTTTTTCAAAATATTACCTGTTCGCTAGGATATTGTGTTAGCTATTGATAGAAAGTTCATTTGGAATTACATGTATGTTTCATCTAATGAGAATTGAATCATGCATAGGCATGACAGTTGTTAAAATCATACCTTGAACTAGTTTAGTGAAGAGCATAATATCTTACAAATGTTAACTTAATAAGGGGATTCAGTATATGCTTCAGGGGTAGATTGACCCTTGCCCCCTAGCTCATCTCCCATAGGATGGAGGTGCCAATGTATGACACAGACGATAGTAAAAAGCCGAGAAATTTGGGGGGTAAAATCATCCTTGCAAGTAATAGGTAGAAATGTAATGATTTGTGGTATGTACATGGATGTGTGATAGATTTGTGGTATGTCATAGATTTGTAATGGATTTGTGGTATGTCATTGATGTGTAATAGACTTGTGGTATGTCATGGATGGATTTATGGTATGTCATGGATCTTTGACCCATGATTCCTTTTCTATTATCTGTTCAAAGGAATATAATCATACATTTTATTTCTTCATCTTAAAAAACATTCTTGAGTTTGGGTGTTTCATTATTTGTTCAGTTGTTGGTGTCTGGCGGGGTTCTTTCACACGTATTGCTAGTGTTTACCTTATGTTTGAGAATAACACCCACACCAGAAGCATTGTGAGGCATATGTTCGTTACACACAAGATAAGTATTATCCCAACTTGTATCAATCGTCCAATCTGTTCTTCATTTATACCATTCTCATCTGATTATCTTGGTAACATCGGCTGCTTGCAAGATTCCATGTTTTCTACTTCAAAATCGGTGCTTAACACTTTTGGTATCTCTTGTTTTTTGTCTAGGGCTCAAGGCTACGATAAACACACACCAGCAGAAGCACACAAGGCAGGCATAGTTGGGCAAAATATTTTGTGGGCTATGTTTTGTTTTTGTTTGCACATTTTGAATCTGCTCTGTTGGCATACTGTACTTGGTTATATGGATGGATATAAGAAAATACTCTTGGTTTTGACTACAGTTATGAATCGACAATGTTTGAACTATTCATATAATATATATCTTCTATTGACTCTCTGATGTCATTACAATGACATATTAGTCACTAAAAAACTAAAAACTACAATATACAAAATTGAATATATTCATCTTCTAATTTTGGGAAATGCTGAAAAAATTATTTAACATCATCCTCACAGTATTTGATGTACTTCATAGTTGATCGTTTTGTGATATTATTTTAAGTTCATCAAGGTTGAGTGTTGGTTTAAATGTGTTTGATTTTGCCAGAAAGTGGGAAAACTAAAATATTTAAATTATGAATTTGCATGCCAACTTCTAGGGAGAAATGTCTGTTTTTTAACAGGTTTACTTAATTTTCATGTTGTTGCATATTTTGGCAGTTAAAATTGCATGCCTATCGGAAACATTCAAATTGAAACGGCACGGATTCTCTCTTAGGCTACATATGTCACAATTTTTCAAATTTATGTCAAATTTCACCCTTTCACTAATTGTGAGGTAAAATATAATTACCCTCCAATCAAAATAACGAAAAAGCTATGAGAATTTTTGTGACACTTTTTTTTGTCAAATAAGTCATATTTCGTCCTCTTTAGTTCAAAATCATAAGATAGACATTTTGAAGGCAAAGTTCAAAGAAATTATTGAATATTTGCCTGTAATTTTACTTTTGTACTCGAACATTATTATTAATGTAAGGTGTCTGGTTCTTTCCTTCCATTCAGTTTGTTTTTATTTCTACATATCTGACTGAAACTTACAATGCAACATTATTTCATACATGTTGAATTAAAAATTATATATTTTTTGAATTTGTATGGAAAGTACTTCATTGACCTTAGTTATATTTTTCAAACTGCCAGATAATTACGGGTTCTGATCTCATATTTATACCTCTGTTTCAATAAAAATTGTTGCGACTATATAAACAGTTTTTCTTTTTCTATACTTTTCATTATTTTTCAATGCTCAGCTTGTCTAAATATTCACACATATAATTATGCTTGACATGCAGCATGCAAGACAGATGTAGTACTTCGTACACTTGAACAAGCCGTTCACCTACCTACCTTTCTTGTTCGACAATGGACAAGATTACTGGTCGGATTGATTAGCGATAATTATTATCGGATATTATAGTACTTGTGTATATCTAACTAGGAATCTAACAGGTGTGAATGAATTAAAATATCAAAAATTGAAATCCTGTTTAAAAGTGTACCGGGTATATAGATTTTCTGCTTTTTGTATTGCAATACCATTGTCCAACCATTTTTACCTGTAATCAAACACTAATGATGTCATGTACGATGTCATGTAATGATGTCATGTATACAACAGTGCTATGATACTCAAGGAAGGGCAGACATTTAAATTGAAGAATCACGAAAAAGTGATTTAAAAGTCAAAGTCAAGAGTGTTTAATCTACGTAGATAAGTTTCTAAAAATCTAGATCCATGGTACGAAATACAGTTAGTTTGAATGTTATTTGAACAACTTGAATTATAAGTAATTTTATTACATAGATTGGTTAATATGTAATAAACTCATGCTTTATCCCTAATTATCTGAAGGGTCTTGTGAAATAGCACAGGTTTAGGCCATAGATCCCGGCCAGATTCTTTTGTAGTAGAATCAGTAGCTCAATAATATTTCCTCAAGATGAGACACCTCAGAAAATTTCAAATTTTAAAATGACGATTCTGGAGCCATTTCCGAAAAATATGAGACAAATCATACCTCATTCGAAGGGTCTTGTTATTCTTTACCTTTTTTATCACCAATGGCCGTTATTCAAGCAATACTGCGTCGATAAGAGGCCAAAACAGTGATATTTTATCGCCGGACTCTTGTCTGTCCAAATCTGAATGTTGCTCCCGTGGTTCCAGAAATGTGACGTCATCATTACAATGATATTTGGACACACAACGGTCCGGATCAAGTGAGAAATATTTGCCGTATTAAAAGTCGAATTACTGCGTCAATAGGTTATTTACTCTAACCAAACAAGTAGAACTAGAAAGATGAAGATCTCAGCTATAAATTGAGTGCAAAATCTGTCACGGGGAAACAGGTACCATTTTGTATAAGGAACGTTTTGAAAGGTGGTCACTTTTTTTTCGAAATTTTCCAATTTAGTGTCGTATCTTCTGTATTATTCTTTGAGCCTATGATCCTACTACAAAACGATCTGGCCAATATCTGTGGTTTAGGCATGCAATGTTAAACATTATAACAGTATTAGCTCATTCTACTTGCCCTACTTGCTCATTCTAAGATTTGACTCTGATTTTCTCTGTACTCCCTAAGAAATGTAGCAAGTTAAAATCTAGATTCATTTACACCCCCCCCTCCGATGGCCTTGTATAACGCCTGAATATAACCTCTACTCAATCCCCAGCAGTTACAAAGTTACCTGTTACACAAAGGGTTCCTATGATTTTTGGTGTTATACAAAATCAACCTTGCAAAATAAGTGAGTGGAGTAAAAACTGAATCAAGACTAAAGTAACCTGTATGTGTCATAATTTTGTCACTAATTAGATATTTACATGTGTATTCTTTGATAACAAGGGTGCATCTTATGTCAAAGTGCCTAAATCTGTAATCATTTTTGCTAAAGGTTGTATATGAACCACATGTGTTTATCAAGGCTAACATGTTATCTTAAAACATGTCATATATACAGGGTGGGCCAAAAAATGCCACTTTTAAAAAGGCCATATATAGAGTAGTTAAGATTTCTAAGAGTTAGCGAAGAGAAAGTATGAAATTAAGGTTATACTGGTGCAGTTAGTTCAAAGCTGAAAGTGAAAATTAAATAGCTTTCAGCCGCATAAGAATTACCCACAATGTAGGATGCAAAATGTCAACATGCCTCAGGGGCTAGCGATATTTCCATATTTCTAGAGCTTGGAATAATTATGGGGTCGTTTACATAGAGTCCAAAGTGAGGTCATAGAGGGTCAAATCCATTAAGAAAATAAAAAATGGTGATTGTCTTTTTAGACTGAAATATAAAACAAAATCTTTAGAGATCATCTGTCTATTCAGTAACTATGATCAGATAATATGGCAGTTGGTTTTGATCAGTTCATTTAAAGAATCCTGGGAGTTCATTACTGCGACTTATTACTCCAACAAAAGATTCTGCCATGTGAAAATTCAAATCAACATTTACATATTTCAGGTGATCTTCGGCAAAATAATAGAATGTTTTAAAAGTTGATGTCTTATATGTTTGCAGTGAATGGAGGTTGGTCGACATGGAGCATGTGGTCCGATTGTAACAGTCGATGTGGAAAAGGTCTCCAGAGGCGTAGCAGAACATGCACTAACCCCACCCCCCTGAATGGTGGCACTGAATGTCCGGGGATATCATCCCAGAGAGTCCCATGTACAACTGTCTGCCCAGGTAAGTCAGTAGTGTGTTGTTATGGAGACGAGAATATACTGTGGGAATCCGAGGAAAACTTGCCCCATCCTATTTTACTAAAATGAAAGAACAAAGTGATATCATTCAAGTATATTTTAAGTGCATTTTTACTTAAGATAGGGGACTTGTAAAGATATGGCTCTTCAAAATTTGAGTGGATATCATATTATCAAACATTAAAAAAATCAAACACATCCTCTTTCAAAGTTTTGAGGTAATTTTATCCCCCATGACAGGCCAAATGAATGCTATTTGCCACTTCATGACAAGAAGTAGCACCTTTATTTGAAGGTATCCTAGACAAAGTTTGCATTGGGCACCCAACACATGCTTGAAAGTCCTACCATAAATATTCTACCTTGGTTTTATATTTACTCCAAAGTTTGGCAATCTGAAGATGTTTTCTAGATATCAACTCAAAACCAACTTTGTATCTCAAGTATGGAATATGATACTTTAATGTACATGCGTCCTAAAAAAGTTCAAGTATACCATGCCTATAAGCTGAATATGTCTAAGACTGAAGTGGAAATCTTGGTTTGCTTGAGAGTTTTATTTTTCTGCTCCCATATCTTCAAGAATGAATCATGAATGGAGAGACAAATCTCAAAAAAAATGTTTGATATGACTTTTTGAGGGTTCAGATTCAATCCAAAACGAAAGAATAATTTTATCATCTTAAACACTGTGCTTGTTACTTATCTTTATTTGTTTAGATAATTTATAGTTGATAATACGTTTGTGCTAAACAACTGCAGAGAGAGATTCACAATAATATCTACTTGATTACCTAGACACCAATGGCTTCCATTACTCCTAAACAACAATGTATGTGACCACATAATAATAATGTTACATAAGGTTTTCTTTTGGACACCAGAATAAATCTATGGTATCAAGGTTTAAAGATACTCAAATTGAAGTTTGGTATTGATTGTATGTTTAAACACAGGTGTATCATTGTGTGCTTGATATAGAATTGAAACTAAACTTTAGATACATGTCAGAGTATAAAATTCATATCATAAATAACACTCATAAACTTATCACACAATTATATTTAATTTATTGTTATTTGAACGCTCTTAGGTTAGAAATGTTATATCAAAGCATCGACCAATCAAATTACTGGTAGATAAAAATGGCAGTTATCGTCAATATTTGTTGTTCATTATTAATTCGTAAAAGATTACTTTTCAACTAGGAATCAATTTAAAATTGTTATCATATGTACTGAAAATTTAACTTTGACTTCATTTTAATTGCTTTTACTTGAACTGTATTGTATTTGATAACTCTAATCTCCTCCAGAACTATTGAAATAGTTGTTGAATCAGTAATAGGTTACCTTAACATGGTCGTACATAATAAAACTAAAACTTTTATTTCGAAATTTTTTTTAAAATTGGTACTTGATTCTATTGTTCTATTGTTCTCATATCCACGCTTATAACAATTGATTTTGGAATCCTTAACTAACAAAGTTTCTGTTCATGACTTCATGTTTATTTAACAAGAAGGTTTTAATTATTGTATTCCTATTTGTATTTTATTGCAAATTGCAATGATTGTGATAAAGAGCTTACAGAATCATTGTTGAAGGATGTAGTACATTACAAGTTGGCAGAGATTAATTTGAAGGTTTTCACAAAGAACTACATTTTTAGAAGTCAAGCTATAAAAGAGCCAAAATCCAATTAGAAAGTTTCTATTGAAGATTGATAGGTTTCTAGTTCATAGCCATATATTTCATGTCTGAAAGATCCTAAATCTGATAACCTTTTCTTCCAATGTCAGTTCTGAAGTTCGTGAACCAATCATATTTGGGAAAAATAGAGTTCTTTCTATAGTGGTTTATAACATAGAGATCTTATCTTTGGTATGGGAGTATGATGCTTTGCTTTGGCGGAAGCTAGGTCAGATGTAACAATTGGGCTGATGCTTAAGAATGCTATTAAACATCTGTCTCTGCTCTGTTACTGTATTTCAACAAATATTTGCTGGTTTATAGATAAAACACGAAAATTGGAAGTAAAAGAATAAATGAACGAAATTGAAAGAAGTGAAGAAATTTTAAGTCCAGTCCAAGTTATTTTTTTCATCATTTTAAGCTAGCATTAAGTTGACATCTACCCACATTGAATTGTCTGGCTTATCAAAACTAAGAAAAACATTGGTTTAGTTCATGAGCTTTTAAAATAAGATAAATTCCCAGAGCAGTCTCTACTCATTGACTGGACCATTTATAGAATTTCTAGGCCTGGGTTTTGTCAGTCGTCTCAGTGCTGTATGTTCTTAATAGGCTTCTTAGTGTCTAAGGCTGTGAGATATGCTCTGGACTATTTAAATGTCTTCTGTTATTCCAAAACACTCTGGAAATTCCTCAGCTCTCTCAAAGCTGGAATTTTGTTTGGTGATTAGTTTTAGTTAGTCTAAAGATTTCATGTATGGTTCTTGTTTACTTTTACTTTGTTTAGAACTTATTCTGATACCTATCATTGAGCTTTGGTTATAGCTTAATAGCACATATCAATGACTGATGGTCTCAGAATCATCATAAACATATTACAATGTTTCAAACTTTTTTTTATCTTGCGTTCTAGTGTCTCACTTAGCTCCAAAATCCACCACCCATGTTATTAAGAGAACAACTTGTATTTCTAATTGTGTGCCCTGGTTCTGGGAACACTTTAAAAATAACTTTCTTTTGTATGTGTGGTGGTCCCACAACCTTAAATCAATTATCTCAAAAGAAAACAGATCACCCACCAGCTGTTAAAATTGTGTTTCAGTCCACCGTAATTGTACACATTCTTCCCAACATTGCCCAGAGAGTAGAGACATGGTTGGCAGTTTTCTGTCGCTTATTTACCCTCATGAATTTATTTCCTCTTGGTTTTATTATCTCAGAGTTTTTGTGCTCGTTATCGGTTGTGTGTTGTTTAATTTCAAATTGATTAGAAATCATTCACTTTTGTAAATTTGAAGCAGTAATCAGCATAGAGTTTGGATCATTTTTATGTACTTTCTTTACATTATTGTACAGTATTCTTCATTCAGTATTTCTAACACTAGATTTTCAGTCAGTTGCCTGCCTAGGATTCTAGGGTTATATGCACGTTTTCATAATTTTTATTGTTTAAAATTTACATGACTTCATTCTATATGATCATCTTATGTACATGTTTGTTCACACATTATGTTCTATGCATTCATAGAAGGAATGACGCCCTATGATTTTGGTCAAGGTGAGTTAGCCAATCAGATTGTTGGAAGGTGGCAGGTATTTTTAAAAATGGAAGATAGTGGCAGCCATTTTTAAAGATGGCTGCCATTGATTCCATCATTTGGTCCTGCAATGAGAGGCTTTTATGGAGTAAATATTTGTTGTATGTGACTTTAATTTTGTTACCCAATATACGGTTATTATTATCCCATCGAACGAAGTTCGGAGGGATATAGGGAACGCCTCCGTCCGTCCGTCCGTCCGTCCGTCCGTACGTACGTCCGTACGTCCGTCCGTCCGGGCAATAACTCAAATACCGCTGGCCCGATTTTGTTCATATTTTGTACACATATACCCTATGGGGGTAGAAGTTCTGCTCGAAAGCCGATTTTCAAAATGGCCGCTCATTTCAAAATGGCGGCCATTTTAGTGCCTAATTTACAGTAATTTCGGTGCAATATGTAAAACTGTAATAGCAATATGTTTTAGATGTAAAAAAAATATATGGGACATTAATAAAGCTAGAAATATAGATATTAAAGAAGCACATGGCAGCCATCTTGAAAAATGGCGGCCTTTACTCGTTATTTTACGATTTTTGCTGTAACTCGAAAAGTAGTGGAGCAATTTTGTTCATATTTTGTATGTGAATACTATAAACATTGCACACTGTCTAAAGACACTTTTGGTAGAAAGTGGCCATTTTAAAAAATGACCGCCATTTTGAAAAATGGCCGCCATTTTAACCTATTTTACTATAACTCGAAAATATGTGAAGCGATTTTGTTTATATTTGGTATGTGAATACTATAAGGATGGCACACTGTCTAATGACACTTTTGGTAGAAGGCGGCCATTTTTCAAAATGGCCGCCATTTTAACGTATTTTACTATAACTCGAAAAGTAGTGGAGCGATTTTGTTCATATTTGGTATGTGAATACTATAAGTATGGCAAATGGTCTAATGACACTATTGGTAGAAGGCGGCCATTTTGAAAAATGCCTGCCATTTTTGCTATATACTTTGTTTGTAAAAATGCCATCCATGGCTGTTCGATGGGATTCGCTACGCTTTGGCGTTGCCGTTGTTCTGGTTATACTTGTAGGATAATATAATAATTAATCTTATTTATTATGATTTATACAGGTCACTTCAATTTATTTGTTTATTTTATTTTCACACTTTTATTATAGACACATTATTTTAGTAGTAATCATATCTTTTGTTTTGAAGAGATTTTTTGAGATGGACCAACAATTTAATTTTGATACTTGCTTTTTATGTCTCACTGTTTGTTTGTGAAATGTTGTTTTTGATGTGATATTCAACTTCCCCCAAATGAAGATAATAATCATATCCATTATAATTATCGTGTTTATCTTTTTTGGGTACATGTCAAAAGATTAACCTAGACCATAGTTATAGCCAATAAATGCATATACACTTCATTCATAACAAATTACATATATTTTGCATTACCTTAATTTTTAATACTATTTTCAGTGAATGGTATCTGGTCTACATGGTCCTCCTGGTCAACTTGTAGTCCTGATTGTAAGCACCACCGGCGGCGATTGTGTGACAACCCTTCACCGCAGAATAATGGCAGATTTTGTCATGGAAATGACCTTGACACAACCAACTGTACCGGAGGGCAATGTCGAGGTAAGGTCAAGGTCAATCTGGATGTCATCAAATTATGTGCAAGTGAAATATTATCCCAAGAAATTACAATATAACGGTGTTGTTTTTACATCTGAGCCACTTGTATTATAATAAATAAAAAAAATACAATACTTCATACTAGTGTAAATCTTTGAAGGCAATAGTTATAATATAACTCGCAATTTGTTAAATTATTTCCTTTCTATACTTATCTGTCAATTACTCTGGTTGGTCTTGTGCGACTTCATTTAACATTGTGATATTATTGGAGCAATTGTGGAGGAAGCAATCAGTGTATTGAGTTAAAGAGAAGCACATAAAGTAAAAGATCATTGTTCTTTAGAAAGCTAGTTAGATTAGAGATCAAACATACTTTAAAGAGCTGTGTATTTGATAAGCACTGATTGGAGAAGTCCTATAAGTGGATGGTCAATGCTTACATCTTTGAATCATGCTGACTCATGTATTTCACTGCCCTCAGTGTTGTAAAATAGTTTAACAAATGTGTTTTGTTGAGCGGAGAAAGTAGAGTTATTAAAAGACAGACTTGTTGCATATTTTGCTTTCTCGGTCTCCAATTGTGCTTTGTTATGTTTATCGCCATAGTTGCATGTTTTGGACCAATCAGGATTCCAATCAAGAAAATGAGATCGTTTTCACATTTTACTTTCTCATGAATGGCCTTAACACTTAAGGTTCAGCGTGAACTTCTAGATTCTCAAATCTCACACATGTATTTTTCTTGAGAGAAAACATCAAAAAGATAATCTTTGGAAGTGGTATTGATATCAAGAGGGAATCTACCTGTTCCTATAAAGGAATTAACCCCTGAGATAGCCTTGCAACTGTATAAACACTCAAAATGGAGATAATCACTAAACTCATGATAACGAAAATTAACCCAAGATGGCCTTTGACAAGAACAGGACTAATTCTGTAATCCATGCTAAGAAATAGGAGATAAATGTTGTTGATGTTTGTTTCCTCTTTTTATGACAAACTAATGAAAACAGGAAAAGAAGTGCAGCTGATAAGGTCTTTAAATTCAAAGAGAATCCCTCTTTTACCAGTGTGTCCATGAGTATATAACTGTATTATTGACCAGATGGTCTTCATCTTAGTTTCATCTGAAATTGATGTAAGATGAATGTTCAACTCCAAGCAACCAGATTGAAGGTTACATAACCAAACCTTGCCACATCTCTGCCTAAACTGGAATATTGGATACATTCTAAATAGCCTAAGTGGTCAGTGATAGATTTCTAGTTCATATACATGTTCAGGGCATACTTAGGAGTAAACCAGGCCAGAAACATGAATCAAGATGGCCACCGTTACCACGACAGTTTGAGTAATGGATTCTTCCTGTTTGGGAGACAGGAATACCAGCTGTAACAACAAGTCAAACACCAACATTTGCTTTCCCTAACTGCTTTATAAACAGGCCGCAACATTAGAACATGTAGGGATGAAAGATGGGACTATATTACAGCCACATCACAACAAATAAATAGTTCTGGCCCACTGGTATCATTCCTTTGATCTCATGTTTATTTAAGGCCTAAATTAATTAAGTTTTATATGTCAACAGATTGGCAGTTATAGTCCTGATTATTTACCAGCTGAAAGTTAATCCTAATTTCAGTTAATGTCCTGCGAATTAGAGTTTCCTCCATAGAAATAGTTATTGTAATTTTGTAAGGTTGTAAATAAAATTAGGTACATAACTGGTAAGATTTACCATAGAGCCCAATAGGTTTTTCAGAAATCCTATGGGTTTACCAAATTTAGATTTGATATCAATATATATGAAATCTGTGAAATTTGGTTAAAATTAGCCTTTGAAATTTAAACCAATGTGAAAAATTGGTGAATGAAAGAGTGATGAATCTAAATTTGTTAGATTATTGAATGATTGGCGGAAGAAAGCTCTCAGGGTTGAAACAATAGCTGATTATAATTCACTTATTGGCACTTTCAAGGTAAAACAATACCTCCTTCTGGGGGAATACTGACACTTCACTTAACCCAACTCCCAGTCAATATAGATTGATACAGTGGAAAATACATGCTATCTAGTGTTAGAACAGTACTTAGGCTCCTTTATACACAGCATTATAAACCATAAGTGACTATCAGGGATGTAACTTACCAGTTTTACTCAAGGGGATTTTAATGACAAGCTGCTGTGAAAGAAATTGAGATATTTACACTGTGTATGCCCTAGAAAAGGTTATGTCACGTCATCCTTTGTATTCTGCAATGTCCCTTGGGCTGTATACTTTTACAAAATATTCTACAAATATTCCTTTTTTGATCAACTCATCTTGGAATTTCCTTTATCAGAGGAAACTTGTCTTTAATAAAAGCAAATAGCTTCTACTTTTGGATCATCAAAATCAGTAATTATAAAGTTTTACGATTTGTATTTCCAGATCCTATTTATGCGGAAGACTCGGATGGAAGTGGAGGTAAAGGTAGGTTATCAATTCTTAATTCTTCCATTGATCAAAAAATCTATTCTTTCAACGGAAATATTTTGTTTATTCATCTTGCATTTGATATTCTAACCTAATACCCTTATTTACTTTTACATATTAGAATCGCGAGAGAATCTGGAATTCAGCCTTGGAATATTATTTTTCTGATAACAGCTTATTACATTATTATTTGATACATACCCATTATAATTACATCATTTCATCCTTACATTCTTCTAGCGTTAATAAAATCAGGAATCACCTTATTTCTGAAGACAATAAAATCTTGGCTAAATCGAGGGGTTTTATCATGAGAAATCATGGCCTTCTATTAGCTTCTTTTTATTTGAAAGCAGAAAGATGCAATGAGTATAGGAATGAGGGTCTAGGCTTTAGATACTTAAAAGGAAAGACGACTATTTCTAGTTATCTAGATGCAAATCATTATCTAGTAAATGTAACAAATGTTGCTAATTTTGGAGGTTGCATCTACTTCTTACTATCGATGATGTTCAAAATTAGGTTTATGGAGTTCCATTGCGAGTTTGAACTATTTTTCCTTGTCATGGTTTTTTTTTTCGTTTCAAAAATATGGTCAATCTGATGATGTAAATGGAAAAATTACCAGAAAGTATGGGTCCATATTTTGAATTGTTTTTGTCTAATCATATTGAGCATTCATTGATTTGTAAGTATGTGGATCTCTAAGTATGCAGTTTCTTCTCCTTGGGTTAAGCCTAACAGGTTAATCCTCTCAGTTAATCCCTTGCTTATCCTATTTGTAATCTGCGATTGTAACTTACCTATAATCCAAGCTAAGTTACAATCTTACATTGCATATATATTATTGATGATTTTCATATTTTTACGCTGGATTCATCTTGCAACAGGAATTTTCTCTTAATAATAAGGCATTTTAATTCTTGTGGTTTCAGTAAAAATGTGTTCTTTCATTTTTGAAAATCAGACAGTTTTAATATTTCCTCTTGGTAGATTAAAGGCATATAAGATACAGATATCAGAACTTCTGGATTGAATAATTCAGTTTGACAGTATTATCTTTTCCCAGTCCTATCTAATAAAGGTGATAGTATGTCACTATACGCCTCATATCAACCAAAATGGCATAAAATTCTTATAAAGATATAGCAATCGGGCAGAAAATATGATATGGATTTAATGTTCTTGTCATAACTGATCTAATGTTTTGGATATCAAACTACATGTTGCATCTACGAAAGGTTGGGTGAATCTTTGAGATTCCAGCTATGTTAATTTCAGAGCCAAACACATTACGGAAAATAGATAGAATTCTAAAAAAATATATTGTGTAATGGAATCAACTTCAGGATCATAAAATTGTGAGTTTATTGTATAAAATGTCCTCTGTTTAAAAGTTTGGCAATGCCCTGTTTTTAAGACTTTGGAAATGTCCCATATTTAAAAGTCTGGAAATGTGGTTCACAACTTTTGATTATGTCAGCTATATAAAGTACATGTGTTTGATGAAAGGAATAGGTTCATTTAGATTACCTGTAAATTACCTGCTATTACCTGTGAGATGAAAGTAAATTGTTATATAATACTTAATCACCTGGAACACATATGTGTTTATTTTAGACATATGTTTACACAATAATGATACAAAGTTAGCTACATGTACATTAATGCACTAATTAACAATCTATACTGGTGCATATTTATCTAATTTAGAATGATTATAGATTTACTTAGTGCACGCTGAATGTCGAAACTTCATCAGCAAAAATTAAAGTACATCCTAGATTATAATTGTTTTTGTTATTTTGTTTTTTCCTAAAGTAGAGAAATGGAATTCATTTGTTGAAATTCTTAAATGTGTTTTTCTTGTCTTGTTTGTTTGGTCATATGGTGAACACATTCACATTGGTCTGTCTTTATCTTCCACGTTTGGGGCTAACAAGATAAGTTTTGATATCATTAATGATCTATTAGGAAAATAGTGAGTAATTTTACCACAAAAAGTTAATATTACCCACATCTGACTGTGGTTATCATACATTCTATACTCTGAGGCATAATTCACCTCATCAGCTTCATATAACCTATCATACTTTTGGCTCTATGAACTAGTGTGTTTAGTTACCATGTTGCCATAGCACCTGTATTGGTCTCCATAGCAACTGTACCAGTTTCCTTAATAACCATATAAGATTGGTACCTAGAACATCATATTAGATCATTGACTGATTCAAATTATTTTATTTTAAAGATAGGATAAGTATGCAAAGGATATACTTTGCTGGGGGCATTGAGTTGATATTACATCACGAAACTACTACTGTGTGTATTTCCCATGTAAAAAACACTGATATGGTTGTGTAAAGTGAACAGTGGTTAAGATAAGGAGTTCATAAACAGATTAAGTTTAATGCTAAACTTGAGGAGAAAGATACCTATCACATAACAGCCTCAAGAACTTTTGTGTAATTGCATCAGAGCGGAGTCATGATAAAGTTAAAATTCTTATAGCTTTTTTGGTGATCTCCAAACACATTGAACAACTGATCTACAGGCTGCACCCACTACATTTCTTATTTCGTACAATTTGGAGGGGGATACTCTTTTATCTCATTGACTCTTCTCTGTCCAAAAGAGGACAATGTCTAAAATGTTCTGCCACTTTTTATTATTGTTTGTTTTACAAAATGATATGATATTTTGCTTATGGGCAAAGGAGATGTAAGGCAGTCGTATGTTTTAGATTTCAAGTGAATCCATTTTTGAAATATCATAGTTTAGTTCATTTAGATTCTCAGCGCAAGTCGAGACACTTGAGGCTACGTTACCCTAGCTACCTAGCCATAGACATGTTCGCAATTTATGATTTATTTTAAATATTATGACCCTTAATATAAGTGTAGTGCTTTCAAATACTCTTGAAAAAATTATGAAAGTTAAAGTTTCATGTAGGTAAAGTCAGTTGCTTATTTGAGTCATGATATAAATTGTCATCTGCCATTTTTTGAATTTATAATTTTTGTCATAATTCTTGCGTTGGTGTCAGATCACAGTTAAAACTGTACACATCTAAACCAGTAAAGTTGTATGCTACATTGATTCAAGACTGAAGGGAAGATGAAAAATCTGCATGTACTTTTTCATTTAGTATATCATCCAGTTTCATCTTACTGAGGGACCAAATCAGAAGTGTCTCAAAATATTACAGAATTTTCCATCATTTCATGAACCTTGTATGAATTTTAAAAAATGCAAATGAAATATTTTGTTAGGTATATTCAGAGCAGACAATATATCAAACGCTCAAAGCAAAATATATATAAGAATTTATCCTAATTTTTGACACGTCCCCTGATAGTTGACAGTTGAATATATTATAGAGGGGTTTATACCTAAAGGATCAGAGGTTAAGCAAAGAGAACTTAGGCCTAACAACATATGTCTCACTGATGAATGGCTGAGACTTGAAAAATGCACACGCAAATACATCTGGCTAAGATGAAACTTTTGATGGTAATTTGTATTTGGTTGGGTTTTTGTATTTGTTTATACGATGAAATCATGATTAATCTAAAGCCATCTTCAGAGCATAACTTGAACATATAACTTCAGTTACTTTGTGAACTTTTTGAATCTTAACGTTTGTTTATGCGTTTCCTCAAGTCTATGTTTTGACGAGATTTAAAAAAATGTATACTCATATTAAGAAGTAATATCCAGTCGCATCCTCACTCCGACAGCATGCTACAGTTGAGGTAGACTTGATCAGCCATCTTGCCCGAAGTGCAATTTTGCCGAAACTACAACATGGGAGTACGATACCTGATGTTTAAAGCCATATATGTCATAACCAATCAATGTGCCACTTCATCTTATTGAAATTATAGATTGAGCGAACAGACAAACGTGAACCATTAGACTGATCAACAGACATTTGTGCACGCATGTTACTTTCGGTAGAAAATAACAGCATCACCTTGCTGTGAATATCATTGAATGTTATGCTTTAATTTGAATTGATGAATAATTGTTTGACTACATGAATCAAAGAACCTTTTGTGACATTACTTACCCTCCTAAAATGGTCTGGATCGTTGGATGTTTTATGTTTTTATATTATCAGTTGTTTGATTGTTAAGCTTTCTGTAAGACTAAGAAGTCGTAACATTACAATGTAAAATCTTTTATTGAGCAGGGGTTATGTTTAAGTAGCCATGCTTGGATAAACCTGACATTCCTCTGGGAAACAAGAATTTTTCTTGCAATAAACTATACTTTATGGGAGCCACCCGAAAAGTTTGAATTTGGAATTGCTAAAAAACGATCATTTTCATCATAAATTGTTACATTTGAGCATGATTGCTTGTTAAACATCCGTTATATTAAGATTTCTGGGCTGAGCAAATTTCTGTTTTCTGAAGCTGGTTAACATTTCTCTGTTTATCTAAATAGAAACCGAGAGGCTAAACCAGAGATAATATGCCAAAAAGACCAGAACAATGATTAGAATGTATTGTAATCAGGGTATCTATTGAACTGTAAGCTATAGGGGTAGATTTCAGTCTAGAATCACAAGTAAACAAGAATGCTGGGCTATCAGTTGTTATCCAAGGCTGACTCTAGCATAGAAATTTCTAACTTTCTGCACATTAAGTATCTGATGTAACATCTTGGTACATGTATCTTTACATATCATATCCCTTCTTTTTATGTTTTTCTACAGGTTTCAAGACGCAAATGAGAAATATACTCTTGATTGATTTTTTGATTTTTATTTAGTGAGGGTTGAAGTTTGTTTTCTTCAAGATGCCAGGGCATATCAGTTGCTTTTCAAGAGTGTTCATTTAGCCACGTCACATGTAGTTAAGATTACCTGTGTCTGATCAAGCTTCCAAGCAGATACCCTTAAACAACCTACAGAAGTTAATATCCCAGTGTCTGACCTATGATATTCTTCAGTTTAGAAAGTTATTTTGACATCAAAAGTTTTCCTTGGTTCACTGGGCACTTAACTTTTCGGTATCAACAATTTTCTGTGCACCTTGTCAGTTTATCTATCCCCAGAATTTGCTTAACTTGTAGGGAAATATAACGTAAATCTGTGTTTTATTATGCTAAATTAGAAAACACAAGAGCCATGACAACCTCTAACTCTATTCAAATCAGAAATCAGAAGCGTGCGATGTTTCCTAATATTCTAGGGAAGTCTACCTTATTTCATAATCAATATCTGTAAAGTAACCATCCCTTTACCCATTGCCACAATTTTTACCTCACAACCCTAAAAGAGTGCTTCATATGCAATTTCACCTGTCCCAGAACTCAAGTTCATTTATCCAGATCTTATATTCAGGTTATTGTTGGACTAATCCCTTAAAATACACCGAAGCATTAAATAAAGAGGGGCCCTGATGAATCAGAATATGCAGGTATCTAGACTCCGTTTGGGATAATAGTACCAGGGTTCAGCTAGTATATTTGTGCAGGAAGGGAAAGATGGATGAAAAAGTTAGAAAACGTTACATGATAGATAACGTCATTGATTTATCACATAAACTCCTCCTACTCCCATATATTAAAGGTCAAAAGACAAAGTTAAACAGCCGACATCAAAGTAAAATAGATAAGGGATGTTTTTAACCCTAAATCATTTACCCAGATAGCATATAGATATCTACATTTAACAATTTTAGGATGTTACATGCTGTATAATGTGGTTTTCCCATACTGAGCTAGGTAATAAGTTGCATTCAGTTCAAGAGTGAATTAAATATGATATTTATTTAAAATCACTATTATTATATTTTATTTTGTCTTTTCTGCTTCTGTTTATATACAGTTTCTTTTGTGACAGCACTTTATGAATTATGTCTGCATATAGCAATGTGACATGTATATCATAATTAACAGAAAGTCCCTTATCACTTCATAGTCTATCATAAGAGTGGGTGATTATAAAGCATAGATAGGTGTGTCACATATAGATTAAACCACTGAGCAAGTGCCACTTGCATATGCCACAAGTCTTGCAAGCTGTCTAGTAGTTTTTCATCATTTTTGTCTGCAAATTAAATGCATTATAGATATATTTTCCTTTTTATTGAGACAATTTTTTATATCCTATCTGAATATGCAGTGTATCCTTGGCAGCCTTATTGTTATATTATAACATAAGTAGGAGTTTCTTTTGAATTTCATAGTAATAAGACGTGACATAAATGTTAGAGGTCAGCTTGGTTAAATGAGCGCCAGTTGCATCATGTAAAAGGAGAAGGTCACATTTGGAGTACTTTCAAACTAATGCCTTGTGTTGTATGTTGCGTGTCATTTAGTATTACGATTTTGTTTTTGAAATCTTCAAAATTAACAAAGGGAAACACTGACAACAAAATTGCCTGAGATTGTAATTTTCAGATTTTTCTCAGTTGTACAACTATTTGCATTTTGAAGTGCATTTTCAGATTTTCATCACCATTAAATTGTAAATGAAACATATTCAGATGATATTGTTAGCAACGTAATTAAAGTTTATGAGATGGAAATTGAAATAATTGTTTGACAGGAGGTCAGCGCTGACCAATGTTATGATGCTGTTACCGTTATACTATGCATACTAGGAATAGTTAGACCAATTATCTATAATTTATATGTCAAATAATTTAGGAAAAATAAGTGCGATGTCATGTTGCTACGTTTAAATTTCTCAGCCTCGCATGTGGTAATATTGTCCTTTTCAAAAAACCAACAGACATTATATTTGACTGTAATTACCTACATTTATATATTTGCTCTTTTGAGGCATTTGTGGTTTATAAAATAAATATTTTGCCAATTTTGATGCAAGTTTGTGAGTGTCTTACAAAAAGGGGTGTTCTCTTAACTATTCTATATATATCTTTAAGAAGTCCTGGCCTTTGAATTGGGCTTTCAGGTAGTGTTGGTTATTTCTGAATGTTCAATTTTACACTGAACCAAATATACCATGATGAGTAGAGTTTGATATCATTCTTACACATCCAGATCTTTATTATCATACACTGATACACTAACCTATTCCAGAATATGTTTAATTGCATTAATGAATACTGGGCCTAGAAAAGCACACACCTTAATTGTCAGAATCATACACCTTAATTACCAGGTAGCCACCTTAATTTAATTAATCCACTGGTTAATTAGAGTCATACACAGACCTAAAGATTGAGATATCTTAATTTGTTATCTCAGGTCTGGACAGGGCCTACAATATGAGCTAATATACCCAGAAATCAGAAATATAATAGATTTGAAGAAATGCTTTAGAAAATATATTACATGTGTCACATAGTTTTTTCCCTCGTTTTTTTCTCCTTAATCATTTTTAAATCTGTAGAAATAATGATTATTTGTCATCTGATTGTTATTATTGTTATGTAGGGAAGTTAGCCTAATGAAATGTTTAACATTCATATGAGTGTATATATCTCAAATGGAACAGAATCAGTTTCCATGGTAACCAGGTAACAGTAGAAATGGATTTACGTAATCCACATCTAAATATGCAGAGGGATATCATACGTTATGATATTTGAAGATAATGTTTTGTCTCTGGTTTGTGTTTTGATACTCAGAGAACAGATTAGGCAGTTTAGTCGATTTGCAACAATTTCATGATAATTGTTCTTGATTTTTTCACTTTGATCTGAATCATTTCGATCAGCTGAAAGTTTTCAATTAGATTGATCTCTGACTGGATCTGTCAGCTGCCATATGGTTGTGGTGACCCTTATCTAACCCATATCCTGAAAAGTTGAGATAAGTCTATCTTTTAAGCCAATAGATTAGGAGTGGGAATGAAAGTTAATAGTTTGTTGTATGACTCATAGGTGGAAGCACTATGCAGAGTGCAATTTAAAGATTACCAGCTAGAGTTTTGGTATTCTCAAACACAATACCTGCTTTTTTTGTTTAAGCTATATCTTCCCGATAAACCAGGGTTGATCAATCAATCATCAATAAACCAATCAAGCAATTCAATCAATGTTTTATTTCTGTATTTCCAGTGTTCAAGCAAGCTAAAGAAGCACAGAATATCGCCATGTACGTTGGTCTGTTTGTCGCCATTGCCATATTTGTCACAGTCCTTGCCCTCATCATCATTCTCATCAGAAGGAGGAACCAAAATAGAGGTGAGTTGGACAGACATATTTAGATGTAGACATAGGCTTGTTTCAATGGTTCATTGATTACAGCTAAAAATATTTTACAATTAACTTTGAGTATTTTAACCAGTAGTATCATTAACTGCATTTGCTTGAAAAGGTGCTATTTTGTCATTGCCTTGTCTGGGCAGTTGCCATAAGTAAACGTGTTATCTTATTTCAACTTTTGCAAAGCAAGTCTTTATCGCTATTTATTCTATGTTCTACAGTACATTTACATTTTTGTTATTATTGTGTGTTGTAGAGTTGAATCTTCCATATTCCAATCCAGAGGAGAAGAAATTGAACAAAAATGACCAAGAAAAACTGTCCATGCAGCCAGACCTCACCCAAACTGTCGTCACGATCCGCAACAATCACACCGATTCCCCCAACAACAATACAAACAACAGCACACCCGTCAAAGTGCCGTTATTCAACGGACACGAAAACAGTGGCACATTGCCATCAGTAAAATACGCAAATCATGTTAATAATGAAAATAAACCTTTATTAATCGATCCACCACATACATTAACTGACTCCACGGAGAAACTACCATTGCCGAGAAAATCAGACTCAGACAATTCAATCAAGTCAGGAAATAGTTCACGGCCACAGTCTGTTTACGATTCTGATGGCCATAGACTGTCAGTCATTTCCTGCCAGTTGCCTAGCAACATTGATCTAGAGAATATAGCCTGGGGCAATATAACCCACACAGGAGGACGCCTCCAGATCCCTGAGTCAGGTAAGGCAGACATTTTGAATAATGCATTGTGGGAGTTTCTCATTGGCCCAATTTATTGTAACTGTTAAATGAGATCTGTACAACCATCAGGGATAGAAGATACATTCATTCTCATATTTACTGGAAACCAAACCATCCTAAAAGTTTTATCATATACTTTAGCCATCAATCAATAGGAAGAACGTATTAAACAGCTGTTCATAACATTGTCGCCTTTTTACATGACGCAAGGTGCCAAATGTGTTGTTTTACAAAATGGTCATTGAAGTCACAGCTTGTACTAACTACTAAAGATCACATGAAGCGTGGGCACCATTTTGACCTTTGTGAATTTCATTCATCTTAATGGCAATTATTTCAAAGTTTGTTACCAGGGTAATAGTTCAATCAGATATTGTTTCAAAATTTAAGTCTAATTTCATATGATCAATGGTATTTTGTATCATATTTTCCTTAATTTAAACTTTAGTATCAAATACATGAGCAACTGTTAAATGGCAACCTGAGATATTACTTAAAGTTCCTTATGGCTATCTATCAAGCTTAAAGTTTATAAACAAAAGTTAGTTTGAAATTTGAGTGCCATATTATTTTGGAATCAATTCTGAAAGTGAATTGAACTAATTTGAGAAAACTGGCTAATTTCCAGGTTCATTTTAACAATGTAAACCCAAATGCTAGAGGTGTCTAGTTACAAAAATGACCCATCCGCCCATCTGGACCACTTCATCATTAGTGATTTCAGATCAAATTTACCAAGTTTGCATTTAGATGTTACCCATCTGGCACAATAGGAGCAACCACAAGTTGTCCAAATATTTAGGTTTATGGTCTATTTATGCCGTTAATTACTATTCTTATGGTTTCTCTAGGTTTACAATACCTTTGTTTCATTGACCTCTATATAAATAAATCTTTTAGACTTTGGATCATAAATTCACTGCCTATTGAACGTTCAGATTTATGCTTATGTCCTAAATATTAGTTTACTGCTAGTTTATTCTGAAACTTGATTTATGTAGGTTAACTGTTCAAATCAATTTTTTAAATTCTGATTTCTCTTTTATACCATCGACTTAAAAGCCTTTTCATGAGCATGTACAGCTGCTATGAAAAAATAAAAGTCAATAAAAGTGAAAACATTCAAGTTATAAAGTATTCAAGTTGGGTCTGTGTACTGAAAATGTTGAGATAGAAAAAATGATTTAACGGTTTCCTTGAAATAATTGACAAATCAAATTCTTAATTATTCAGTTATTAGAAATATGATAGCGTAATTGTTGATTTAATGATAATTTGTGTCACATTTAAATGTCAACATAATTGTTACCTAGACATAAAACTGTTGCTCAAGTCAACCATTTTTAATTATTAATTAATCAATTTTAATGTTACATTCATTTAATGTTACATTCTACCACACACACACATTTTTATTAAAGTTAGAATATAAATTTCAGAAAAGTGTTCTACAATTTGCAAAAAATATCTCCAAAAAGTCTCCAATTTTCCAATAATTTGATAAAAATATCAAATTGCACAATTTTTGTTGCCAATAATTTGATTCTTAAATAAGAGTATTTAAACATAATCTATGCTTTCCTACATTTGAAAAATGAATTAACTCGATCCTTTTTAAATATTGACCTATGATTTAAGCCTATTATGTGATATCCTAAAAATGGTCAGATAGGAGAAATCAATAAAGGAAAACCGAGATAGTTGACGTATATTGATATTTTATGTCTTTTATATGAGTCTCTAAATCTTTATTTGTATTGAATCTTAGTTGGATTAAAGCAAAAAATATAACACCTTTTAGATATTGTTGAGAATCAATAGTGGGCTCATATTACATGTTAGGGCAAAGCTTTATTTGAAAAAGAAATGGGAAAATAATATGTATAGATTTGTGGGCATTGCCCTCAAGGATTCTGTATCTGTTATACGAGTCTTATGTCTGTGTGAAAAATACATATTGCTCTAAGTTTTGAAATATATTTGTTATAAATTCTATTTGTATCTCAAAAACAAATGTAGTTCAAGTAATTTAGTAAATAATGGCTTGTAAATTTTCATTTCCTAAAAATGAAATATGATTTTAGAAAATATCAAAAATGTCTTATTCCCAGGATTCTAGTCTTTGGATTTACTGATTTCTTTTTGAATGTGACATAGCTACAGGCATTTATGTAAAATTGTATGTAACATTGTATAACTTTTCATATCTTCAAGTGGGAATGCAAATATTGTAAAAATACTGTTTAATTTGAATATGACACTACCATTTTTTGAAGCTCTAGATTTCTTTGAATTGATAAACACTTGAGATAATTGACAAGTTGAAAAAACACAATATGCCGCTGAAGTTTGTTACAGGGCCATTGTTACGTCTAATTGTCATTTATTAGTCACTCAAGTAGCGATTGTGAGCCTCGATTTCTTATTAGCTTTAATATATCAGATCTCCTCTTAAAATGTCAACGTAACATTTCTATGATCTCCAAATGTGTCAGTCAACATAAAAATATATTTTATTGAAATTAGAGAAATTTTATTTTAATATTTCATAATTTCTTTCCATGTTTTCCAGGTGTGTTTTTGACAATACCTGAAGGTGCTATAAAGAAAGGCAACACAGAGGAAATATTTGTTGCCGTTTGTAGAGACGATAAAGATAGACCAAAACTTACAGGTAGGTAACAAAGAATGGCCAAATCAGTGATTTCATTCCTTGGAAACTCCCTTGAAACTTCATGCCAGCAGCTACAATATTTAGTTGTTCAAGAATGTGAAAATTGTGCCTGGCTGAGTATTTACAACTAGTCCATCAGTACATGTATATGTAAATGGTGTTGCATTTTTGATACCTCAAATGTTTAGTTTCAGCTAATTGTTATGTACATTACTTGAGATGTAAACAATGCTATTTTCTCTGTTTCTAGATACCCAAACAATGCTCAGTCCTGTAGTACTGATAGGCCCACAGGGTCTTGCCTTGAAGAAACCCCTGGTTCTCACCGTACAGCATTCAGCAAGCCTCAAGCATGGTCAGTGGATGGTGTCCATATATAACAGTGACACGCCTTATGATGACCCACCACAATGGCAGGTATGTCTCATGACCCACCACATAGACAAAAGTGAATTAGGAATCGTTAAATAGAATGACCCGCTTGTTAATAAATACAGATTTGATTCATTGTTGTCCCACAAACTGATGTGTCAAACTCAAACAGGTCATAAATGCCAGAAAAAAATCAAAATGCCTATTACTTTTTGAATATGTTGTAAAATAGTCACATATTTTATTTTGTACATTAATTTTATTTGTATGATTTAATGTATTGTTTTGTTTCATTTCAGAAACATGTTACTCTTGGCCAAGAAACTTTAAATACCACAATATATTGTCAATTCGATAACTCAAACTGTCACGTCATGACAGATCATTTGTCCCGCTATGCAATTATTGGAGAATCCTCCGGAAGCGGGAACCTTAAATCCACCAAGCTGCTGCGATTAGCTGCATTTGCCCCTGCACAGTATTCGTCCGTAGACTACAACATCAGAGTGTACGTTGTGGATGACAATATAGATGCCTTAGAGGTACAGTCATATAGAATAATATGAGTTTTTATAGTACCTAAAAATGACATTATGTTGACAGGAGGGTGGGTGGGTGATTACTTATAAAATTAAATAAACTGGTTACTTAAAAATATTTGTCTGATTGGTGAAACAGAGGTAGCTGTAAACCAATCTGATTAATACTGTTGTCTATATACATGTTATATGTATTGAAGGTTACCATAGTAATGAAAACCAAAATTTTGATTTTTTACGATTTACTTCATTACCAAATGTTATACTCTATACTATGTTTTATTGATATGAATATTTGTGATCATTTGATTGGTTTAACTTTCAGGGTGTCATGCAAGAAGAGCGTAAACTAGGAGGACGATTACTAGACAAACCCAAACAAATAATGTTCCAATATGGCGGCAATAATTTATGTTTATCAATTGAGGACTTAGGCCCCGGCTGGCGAAGTCGGTTAGCGGCCAGTTATCAAGAAATTCCATTCAGACACATATGGAGTGGCAATCATACAAATTTACATTGTTCCTTTACAATAGAGAGACTGGATGTGACTCAAGATATGATCACATGTAAAATACAAGTGTACCAAAAGTCAGTGATGGCAAACAGACAAGTCATTCAGATAATTTGCAATCTCAAAGAGGTAAGAATCAATTCTCTGATGTTAAACCAAATCTTTGGGGTGTCACTCCACTAAATTGTCTTCATGTGCTATCCTATGAGATATTCATTGTTGTGATACCTTGATATGATATTTAGTCCACTAATGCGCATCCAATGAAATACCAACATTCAGTGTTGGTATTTTTCCCAAAATACCCAAATGTTAGTACATGTACAAGTAATTAACAAATATTTTCATGTTTATATGCTACACAATTTCCCATGAATTTGCATTAAAAAGTGTAGCACATGGTGTAATTGTTATTTAGATCCAGACCAATATATTTTAATTCTTGATACCATTAGTTGGGGAGTACCCATAGACACCACTAATTTCCCCTTGTTTACCAGTGATTTATGTCACAAAATAAAAGGGTGAAAATCACATAAACCAAATTAGACAATAATAATTTTGTTCATTTTGCGACATACATAAAAACAAACATGCCAAGGGGGGAGTAATTATGTTACTCTTCAATTTCAGTTATTCTTTGATAAATAATTATTGTGGGATGAAAATTACCGAAAAATGTCATCTGGTTTATGGAAGTAACCTAGGGCCAATGTATGTCATTGTGTGGGGCCATAACTCACCTATTATCACCCAACATATCTGAATGGCCCTCTAATCATTATGAAGTTTTAACGAAAAAATGAACCATCAGTAAACAATGTGACAGAGATGTAGTTTAGTGTTTTGAGTTCCTTTCACTTGAATTCAAAAAACATTTATTTTCTGTTGTGAAACATCAAAGGAGTTCGCTGTTGAAAAATCATGTCATTAAACATGTATTTATTTCACTGAGCGGAGTCAAAAGTCAAGAAACTTGAAAAATGATTTAAATAAAAAAGACATTTAATCCATTTAAAATATAGATGGCAGCATTGTTATTATCTCAGTGTTTAGGTGATATTAGACGTCACACTTAAATCAAATAAAATTGCTGTTGAGTTTTTGTTTTAAAGATGATTTTATCCAATCTGGACTATATAACCATTCTGAAATGAGTTTATTTCATTGCCAAGAAATGTTGTTGACATATTGTTATATCCATTCTCTTAAAATGTTAGTCCGTCCTAATGAAAATGACTTCTGATATCCAGTCTTTTATCACATTGTTTGGACTCAACATCCGTATCTACAAAAAGTGAAATACATAGCCTTAACTTTTGTGGCCATCATTCTTGTCCACTGTAAACATCTATTATAAAAGTTGTGTCATTGCCTTGTCTTAATATTTACTTTAATCTTTTTCTTCAGAATAATATAACTGGTCAACAATATGGCAGCTTAAAGACAGCGCCCCGAAATTCTGCAGTGAACTCTAATTCCAACTCAAGGTCGGGATCCTTGGTGCTTCTAGACCCTAAAACATTTAGAATAACGGGAAGTGCTAAGCACCAGCTCTGTGCAATTCTGGACCAGCCTAATGCCCGAGGCAACGACTGGCGGCTTCTTGCCCAACATCTTAATGTTGATAGGTAAATTAACCAATAAGACATTTTCATTTCAAGTTTATACCCCTTGAAAGAATTGTTGCAGGAATTTGCTGGCCTTAAAGACTTTATGCAGACCCTAGCCTTATTTAAGAATGCTTTTGTAATGTCCATGTTCTTTAGTTAACTCTCTTGATAGTGGTGCAATGAAATGTCATGACTGGAACTTTTCCAATGAGGAAAGGTCAAATGTTTTCTTTATGATATCAAATTAATTGTTTTATTTTTTGCATTTTCAGGTATATAAACTACTTTGCTACAAAGGCAAGTCCCACTGAGCATATATTAGACTTATTTGAAGCACGCCACACCGAGGAAACTGCTGTCACTGACTTAATGAACATGCTAAGAATTATGGGTAGAAATGATGCAGTGGCGGTGTTGGAGAAAGAAATGGGTCCGTGGCTATAGGGCTAATTGCCAAGTTAATTATTTATAAGTCATATGTGTAGTGCCAGAATCAGACTTCAGATGGTAGCACTGACATATATCCAGGAATTCTGGGAAATCCAAAATGGCCACCACAAACATTTGTTAATGTTGTAAGTGTCATGGATGTCTGCAAGCCAAATGTTGATGTGTCTCCATAGTGATGTACAAATTGGATATTGTATCCATATTCACTTGTAAACAATGTACATATATTTGTATACAATATGTACAATTATATGATTGCCAATTGATTCAACAGTGACAAAAACAAGATGTAAATATAATTAGCATGAACAGAACAAGTGGGAGCTATTTACAAAAGAGCTAAATTCATAGGATCCAGAAGAAGAGGTTGATTTGAAAACAGTAAATGCTGTAGAGCTAGTGCAATTGTAGCAAATGGTAATTTGAACCATTTTGATTGAATTCAGATTATTTATGGTATACTGTTCAAACATTCAGTTTGACAGTTCCATGCATGTCCATGAAGTGAATCAAGCGATTGATTCTATTGGATGATGGATACACCAAATTAAGCATTGTTTAATATTTTGTACATTTTTATATTATACAGTATAAAAAGGAATTAACCATTTAAAATATTGTACTTAGCATTTATAAACACACCCTTGTGATGATTTCATATGTTTTCAAATGTGTTTCCTCAAAATTCTTATTCCAAAATACTTTGGAATGGTATCAAAATGATTCTGTTCATTATTTTCATATTTGAAAGCAAATTGATGCAATCTTATATAAGGGTGCTAGTGCAGTTTTGTAGTATTTCTCATTGCCTTGCTTAAAAAAGTAACTTTGATATTCACAAAAGATCTCAAATCAATATTGCTACTTAAATAAACCTTACAATTTTACACATAGATTTCAACAAAAAGATATTAAAATTTATCATTAAGAAGATCAAAATTTAGTTATCATTTATTTAATACAGTATATGAAATTCTAAATTGTCTTGTATTTCATTGTTGTTTACACAATTTGTAAAACTGTTTCGCATGGACAACTATGACTGAGTTGCTGATTGCAAATCACTTGAGGTATATGTAAAGACATTTTGCCATTATATGGGAAGCAATGACACAGTATTTTTAGATTTTTCTAGTGCTGTAAGTGTTAAAGTGATTCGTAATAAAATAGATAAATGAACTTTGTTAAAAATATCTTTTGGTACATGAGCGTGTAGATCACTTGCAAACTAAGAAGTGATATATAATTTGTAAATCCAATGCAAGACTGGGATATGTAGTGCTAGTAAAATATTCCATTGTTCATATATCATTATGACATCACATTGTAGTCTCACATTCATATTTTCACCTTGTATATTTCATCACCATTTCTCATACAAATTCAATATAAGTCATTCATATCACTCACCAAATTACATATAGACTGTACAGTGTATATTGCGCATACATTTTATATGTAACTTGTGCAGTATATTACACATATATGTAACTTGTGCAGAATATTGCGCATGTATGTAACTTGTGCAGTATATTGCGCATATATGTAATTTGTGCAGTATATTGTGCATGTATGTAACTTGTGCAGTATATTGCACATATATGTAACTTGTGCAGTATATTGCGCATGTATGTAACTTGTGCAGTATATTGCACATATATGTAACTTGTGCAGTATATTGCGCATGTATGTAGCATGTACAGCATATATTGTGCATATGTAAGAATCAGTCTCTGATGTTTGATCACTTAGATTGTAAGCCATAAGTTGCAGGTATTAAAACTGGGGTATTGTATGTTTTAACTCCATACCTGTATGTAGTACTTGTTTTTATGATTTGCAAATCTGTGATCAGATAATAGCAGATTTGTACATAAAATATCCAAATTTTGTGATACTTGATTTAATAGGTATTACATGTACATGTAAAATGATGTTCAGAGTTCAGTCTGCAGTAAGGGGATATAAAATTGTTTCTTGGAGATGCATCTTTCATTTTTAGAAAATACGAAACATCTAGACAGAAGGATGAGTTTTCACCTTTGTAAAGCTTAAAACTTAAAAATATATAAGCGAACTTTTTATTTACTTCATTGTATTTAAAGTTTTCATTCACACCAGAGTAACCAAGTTGGATAGTTCTCCAAGAAATGCTGACATATCCCATGATATGCAAGAGTCGAACCTGTAGAAAAATGAGTATTTATTTATTTGTGTTACTAAGTACACAGTAGAGCAGGCTAGAATTCCAGATAGACTTAGAGTCCCAATACTGATGTAGAATAAGGCCACAATATAGTCATAACCATTGTTTGTAGACAGTATCCATGGTAACCAATTTGTAGCCGTAACCATGGCAACAGAATCATCTGTTCTATGTTTAAATGAGCATATTGTAAGCTTTCATTGATAATAGATTTATATTTTTGAAAGGATAACATTTTCATCATTAAGGATTGACAGGTTGTATTTTTGGAACTCATTGATTTCAGTTGTAATTTATTTTGGTGCTTGTAAAGTCTCTGAAATTGTGTTGATATTGTGTCCGCCATGATTGGGTCACTTATTGTAGAGTATCCTATAGTATGTGCATCGTTTTGTTTTCGAAGCACTCTTGATTTGTTATATATTGTTTGAAGGGGTTTGATCATCTTTTGTAAATTGCTACTACAAGACAATCAGATGTTATGTTGTACTTTAGCTTATATAGACTTCTTTTCTCACCTTATTATGGTCAAAGTACTACATACTATGGTAAAAGTACTACATACTATGGTAAAAGTAGAAAATGCTATGGTAAAGGTACTACATACTATGGTAAAAGTAGAAAATGCTATGGTAAAAGTACTAAATACTATGGTAAAAGTAAAATCTTTGCATTTCATTATACAATACATTTATTTATTTACATCTGTTATGATTTGTGTGAAGTAAATTCTTCATGTTTAGTTCCTTTCAGAATATTGCTTTTACCCATTTAGTTTTTGCTATACTGTTTGTCAGATGATGTAATGCATTTGTATATATAAAATAAAAATATAAATAAAGTACTACAAGCTTTTTCATGTGACATACTCTTTTGTTTCTCCATGGTATAAAGTACGATCCTCATCCGCTAACTTATCACTTATGATTGTATCATAAAGACACTTGTTCAGACAAAATATATTAGTATTCATCATATAACACATTTGAAGATAAGGATTAAAGTCAATAAGGGCAAATCAGTTATAATTTTGTCACAGTCCTAACAGAACTTATATTGCTGTAAATGGAGATGTATGGGATACACTCACGTATGTAGACCTCATTTTTGGAATAAGTTTGTCAATTTCTTGATCAGCCAATACACTATATGAAAAATAGCATCCTAAGGGATGTTCTCCAAAGGTTTTTTGTAAAAGTACAACTTTTTCTCATGTATAGTTTCTGATGCCCTTGCAGGTAACAATTTATCTCAAAATATTTAAAAGCCATGTATATGTGGTTTTTTTCATAGCCAGAGGTCCAAATGCTAAGTATGAAAGTAAATGTGGCACATTGGATCCAGTAAAAATAATTATTAGAATTTCACCCCAAAAGGTATTGGAGAATGTGAGTATCCAGGCAGAATAATAGAAACAAGGCAAAATGTCACCACCATTTGTAACAGACACAAATCGCCAACCGCCGTCACAAAAAAACAAAGACTTAACAATATGTTACCACTTTTTGGTGGTGACAGACTTACAATATGCCACCACTTTTTGGTGGTGACATAATAAGTACAAACAAAACAAGCAGTGATATTCCATGTTTTATTCTTTATTTTTAATATTATAATTTTAAATTGGAAAAAGATAATAACGGGACTACACATGTCCAATCTAAACCACATACAGAAATTTTTACATCTTTATAGTAACATTAATATTCTATAGATGGCAGCATCTCTTATAAGAGGAGTCAATCAAACTTCCAATGTAGTAATGTACTAGACCTACCCTGGGGTTCATTTTTGGTACAATCATAACTTACAATTCCGGGAAAGCCATTGTCTACTTTTTGACGAATGACTTGTAACTAGATCTAATTTACAACTGTTCCAAAAATGGAAAACTGACCCCTGGAGCTCAGAAACTAAGATTTATTAGACACACACTCTTGAAAAGCGTTGTCTAATCAGATATATTTGCTGTATTCAAAATGGGCAATTTTAAAACAAAATTTATTAAGTTCCATCCATCCCCTGAAAATATACTTAAAATGTGCATTGTGTTAATGAATGAGCTATGATGAAATATATCCCCTCCCCTTACTAAGTTATTGTTCCATTCTAATAAACTGGACAGCAAATATGTGAGCTTTTTGGAAGCAAACGTGAACAAAAAATATACTACTGCCATCTATACGATTTGTGAATCTATAATGAGCGTAATACTAGTGAGTTGATACAAACAGGGACCGTTATAGCATTTCCCCTGTGTTATGTTGAATCTAAAACTATACCATTATCACACTATCTTAGAATCCATCAAGCAAAATGTAAATACTTATGTTGTCAATAATATATCCTTATTTTCCAAAAAATACACATTTAACATTTTACAGATGCGCTTAAATGTGCATCTTTGTAATTAAAAGATGATGTTTGAAAATGAGCAAAATCTTCAAATATTTCTCTATCTAGTCTTAGATTTTACATATTTGCAAGCATGACCTCTATATGATTTAATGAAAGTTAAAACACACACATTTAATTTTTTACAATATCCAGAAAGTGTAAAAATACTGTGCCAATAGATCTGTACTTGATATGAACTGAACTGAGTGCTCTCAAGTACATTGTACGATTGTACATTGTACGATTGTACATCGTACAATGAAGTAATGTGCTGTGAGAGGAGCCCAGTCAGTTACAGAAACAACTTATCTGATGATTTTTATTGATGTATTATGATTTCAAATTCAGTGATAATGAAACTGGTGAAAAAATCATGTATTGCGGATACACCAGAGAGTATATTGCACTCATACACATTTAAAACATAATCTCTGAAAAATTACAAAATTTCCAAAACTGTTGACACATCTAAATAAAAACTGATCGTTTACTTTTTAAACTTTCAATGACAAAATGGTGAATTGATCTTAACAAAATGCCATACTATGGATTGTGACTTACTGAGCAAAATAAAGTGTTCTGTTTTTTTCTAGATGCTTTACCTACGAATCAAAATTACAATATACATCAGTTTCTCTATTACATCAGTGAAGGAAAAAACACAAATATTAAATATGAATTCTTACACTATTGGCAAAAATTGTGATATACCTTGCAACAACAGCAGACATGTACGTAATAATAAAAAGAAAACAAATGTAAATGTTTGAATAAAATTTAGTATCTCGTAGGATACTTCAATAATAACATGTTTTAAGTTCCATATATGTACATACATTGCAAGATTCTATTTACAAGGATGCGCTGTTATCTTTTACAGCACCAAATTTAGTACATGTCATTTTTCCTGCTATTCCAACTGACTGTAAAAATTATAGCAAAATTTGTTATTAACGATATTTGCTTCATATTGAACTATACTAACTTCTGATATTCATAATGAAACTATAATCTTTGAATTTTATTATAATTTCTTGTCACATGGTGCTTAACAAAAACTAAAACAAAAAATAACTACGAAACATTTTTACTCCAATTTCTATATCACCCAAATTATGACTGAATATTCCTGAGGGGCTTAGGCATTATACAATTTTCATAATATATTCTCACTTTTGATCGTATGGTAGTTTGGGACCATGAATATACAGGAATATAGCTATGGCTATAGTAATATGGTACAGGTTGCTGTACAAGACAAAATGAATAGTACCTACATATTTTTCTTCACATTTGATTTTTAGCTAAAAATTATGACATCATCAGAACTCTTTTTCTAATAGCCAATCAAAATCATCTTTACCATGTAAACCACCGTGCAGTTTCCAGAGTCAAGACACCATACTACATGTACATGTAGGTTTTACTTGATAGAAATATTAATAAATGCCAGTTAATAACATTTTCACTATGTGTAGTACATTGTGTGATGAAGATGCAATGTGGACTACTTTCATCTGTGTCTATTTCTGTATTCCATTAAACCATCGCAGGTACAATGAAATCTAGTTTTAGAGAAAAATTGCTAAATTTCCACAATTTCTGTGAATAGTCCGCAAATTTGCAATTCACAGCAAAATTATATGCGATTCAAATGTTTGTCATAGGTGGCAGCACTAGCAATGTGACTCTCCATGACAATTGTCGGGTTTCACTAAATTGATTCCGTGACATTTGCTACAACCCACCTGTCAAGCAAATGTCAATCAACATAAATATGAAATAATAAAATGTTAAAGTGCTCTCTGACAACTTATATCAAAAATGATTAAAATTGTTTGTACCATATAAAATTAATAAATGTACGCTATTAATCAATGAAAATCATTAATATTTTTATAGGTTTTCATAAGAAAATGTAAATGAAAAAAGCATGGTAGTAGAGAAACCCTTTTTAAAAATAAAAAATAGCCCAAAAAACCAAGATACAATATAGAAGATGTAAAACTATGAAAAAAATAAAAATTCCGAGAAAGTAGCCATGCAAAGCATCTATAAAACTGGAGATCTAGGCACATACATGCATGTATGTACAGGTATCTAACCTTCAAACGATACATAGAGTCAGAAATAAAACATGTACTACAAATAGTGTAAAAGTAATCTATAAACTCAGAAAGTGCCACCTTTTTCTGAAGTATAAAAAGCCATATAAACAAAAGACAAAACATTTATGTACAAGTTCAAATGAAAGTTTCATAAAAGTAGGCATTCTTCCCATGTCATGTTAATTTGTCCATTAATAAGCAAATATGAATGAATACATATAGGTATGGTTCAATTTTGAAATACATATTGTTCTGAATTGCTCTATCACAGAAATTTTACTGTATATGTATCTAGTATCCCTTCTTGGAAACAGATTATATGTGATTTTTGGATTTCTCCTCAATTCGTCTTGCATTATACATTTACAAGAAAAATTTAAATTTAATAATAATCATCTTTACTATTGCTAAATGATTGCTAAATGTTCTAAACAAGGATTGTTCAATGCTCTTGTTATATTGCTTTGGTACGAGAACTTTGTGCAACGAAAAATTTGTCAAACAAGCGGCTTGTAAAAGACATGAATGTGAGCCCTCTTTATGGATATAATAATATTTCTAGATTGCAACTAATATAATATAAAAGCATAAATGAAGTACTGTACCTTCAGTATAATGCTCTAAACATGGAAATCATTTATATAATATAAAATAACATACATAACTGATAACAACTGACTAACATATGTATATGGACAGTAGTTGATAACATTGTAATTTTACATCATCATAATCTGGTGTGCTAGATCACTTTTCTGGGGAGCATAATATCACCCAGTTTCATCGGAGCATATTGCACATTGTGATTATTGGTTTAAAGACTTGTCATCGCAAGTTAAAAAATTTGTACAACCAATTTATATACAGATATCAATCAATGATCCAGTTTACCCCTTGGCTGCCTCCTCTCTGGCCCACATAGAACTTCAACAATCACATGATGTAGACAAAGATCTAAATGTTCTAGACAAATTGCTCTATGTGGATCACAAACATTCCCTAGCATCATTCAGTCTATTTGCACTTTGCTTTACGCCATTAAGAAAAGTCTTTTGCAAAATAAAAAACAAACAGAAAATCAGGAATGTGTAAGTCACAGCAGACAGCATTCGTCAAAATGAGGCTGTTGGCTGATTTCCCATAATGCTTTGAAGGTTGCAGACGACAAAGTGACTCAGTGGCTCAGTGCCATAGAAGATGGAGTCTTACAAAAAGCACTAACAGAGGCAGGCCTGTAGAAAGTGATGAAACTGACATGGGATTAAAAGAAATCTCATGTTGATAGAAAGCTGTCGAGACAAAGCTACACTGCTCTCTATCAAGTGCACACTAGAACCACGTACATGGTGAAACAACTACTTTACATGAGGACTTGATGGTGAACCAGATCGATGGAAGTGAACGTTCTGCCATTTTCCATCCTTCCTGTACCACACCCGGGTTTCTTCTGACTGCATTGTATGAGGCATCCCATTTCTGAAACAGAAACAATATATGAGGCATCCAATTTTAAGAAATCATCAAAAAATTAGTAAAACAACTTTGAAACCATTTTTTCAAATATTTTAATTTTTTCTTTAAGATAGAAACAAGCAAACACATATAGCATCTCTAAGATAAAAACATACTGATGGGTGTCTGAGTTCAAGAACAATTTAGTTTACATGGATACGCATGTTTGTGTTGCTAGGGTTACTAATTTTGAGTAGAGATTTGTTTACCTGTCTAGATATTGAGTTAACCTAACATAAGCTATGCAGGCTGAGTCATCGCCTAACAAGTGCACATGAGGATGTAAGATACTGGTATTAATAGCTTTGTTGTTTTTTGACATGACTGAAAATAAAATTGAAATCATAAATACACTGCAAATACAAATGTATGTATATACACAATCAGAGATAAATATATATTATATCTTATATATTATATTACATATTATATTTAATATTCTAATATAATATCAGGTCAGGGCTGTTTCCAGGATACTGAAATGAACTATATTTTTGGCCAAACACTAAGTTTTGAAATCCCTGTAACTTTTTACCATTTGTGAGTCGAACCATGATACTTGTCAAATCAATATAATTTGGGATAAGCTTTAAAATGATATATGGAGACATATATGTCTGCCTAGGGGGGGGGGCATACTTTCGGGACACCCTGCACACCACTTCAACTATATGCAACCAAGCTTTAACAATATTTCATCATTGAAGCATCATTGTCAACAGCAGACACTGACAAGAAAACATGTTTCCATTCATCAGATAATACTAGACAGTCACTCAAAACAATCCAGCAATCACCAACTGTTGAAAATCAATTCAATTCGAATCATCTCTACTTAATTAAGGGACCAGACCAATATTTCAATATTCTACAAGTAAATTATGAACTGAATTTTCTCTTTCTTCAAAAAATATTATTGAATATTTGCCTCAAAAATCTATGAAGGTTGACTCAACAAAATTTACCTTTACCACTAACCTCCTTTTTAAGGGCCAATCATATTCTACTGTACATTAATATACTGACAATATCCCTTAGTCTACCAGATCATACACGAGCATAGAGTATTGAAACTTATTTTTGTCAAAACTCACTCAGAAACAATATTGTTAATGACATACAACATTCATTATAATTCTATACATCACATAGGCAACATTAACTACCATTTGCATTTGTTCTACTTCACTTCATAAAAGAGAGCTTCAGTTATAACTAGACTCTACGAGGAGAGTAGACATTAACTGTATAAAAGTAATTGTTCCTCATGATATTGAATCAGAGGAAACAATACAGCAAGTGTAAAAGCACCTCCAGTTTGTCTTTGTGGCCGAGACTGGTGGTTTACTTGTCAAGCATGCCTGATAGGTGGAAGAGGAGAGTAAAGGTTTACATGGTGGCCATAATGTTGGTATCTGCGTGTATGACCTATATGCACTACAGATACCTCACAGAGACTAAGTTGAGGAGGAGGCCGTTGGAACATACAAGTGAGATACTACGTAATAATATACATGGTAAAGTAACTGAAGTTAAAGATGAGCCAAAAGCAGTTACAAAAGAAGTTAATGCAGTCATAAAAGAAGTTACTGCAATCACAAAAGAAGTACCAAACGATGACGAGAAATACCTCGGATATGTTTGTGTGAGAATAGGTTGTAATGGATGGGGCGATCGCTTGATAGGAATATTAACTGCATATGTGTGGTCAATTATTATGGATCGTAAATTTTTCATAATGATAACCCATCCAGGGCCATTGACGGATGTGCTGCTACCGAACAAGGTGAACTGGAATATAGCTGTGCCCAGTAATCTCCGAGCTTATACTAACATAAGGTTGATGGGTGATGAGGAATTTGTTGAATCAATTAAACATGGTGCCCCAAAATTAATGAATATAACATCCAAATACATTGCATTTAATAACAACTTTGACCACATCACTCCTATTGGCCAGAATCCAGTTTTCATGGCAAAACTACATAAACATGGATACAACATGACAAATTTCAACTTTCGAAGAGTTCTCCATGATATTTACACAGAGCTGTTCAAGCTCACTCCTGATTTGCGACAAAGACTGGAAATAGTACTGTACCAGGCAAAACATCAAGGACAGAAAAGACTTGTATGTCTTCAAATACGAATCGGTAAAAGTTCCACCATGGCAAAGGACCGCAGACATGAAGTTAACAAACACGACGTTCATAAATTCTGGGAGTTCGCCGACTCCCACGTAGATTCCTCTGAGGATAAGATATTTATAACCACTGACTCTGAAACAGTGCGGAATGAAGCTAAAGATAGGTATGGCAAAAGAATGCTGGAAATTCCTGGGGAAATAACACATACAGATTGGTTTGAACCAACAAAGGCCAGTCTGGGTATGTTCAAACTCATCTTAGACTTCCACGTCCTCCAACATTGTGATGTCATAGGGATGAGTCCGAGTGGCTTCTCAGCATTAGCGGCCTATCAGAAACGTCCTTTTGAGGATGTCTACTTATTCAGTAACCACGAATTTGTACTTTGTCCCGACATCAACTCTGATGAACATTGCATGACAAGACTAGGACCCCCGCCTTTTCCAATTTACCCCAAAAAGGCAAACCAAACCAGCAAACCTATACCTAGTACAGCGTACCCCAAACAAAACCATCAAACTCAGTCCAACTACAATATTCCTAATGAGGCAAACCAAACCAAACCATCAAACACTCGATATGAAACTGCAAGCATAGATTATGATCAAACAAACAAACATACAGTATTTGGATAGTGATTTAGTTACTTCAAAGACAAATAGATGGCTCTTATTTTAACTCTAAATTTAGCCCTTTCAAGTCATTTTTAACACTGGGATAGAAAAGGAATGGGGCATAATGTCTTGATGTAAAACGATCAAGTTTATAGCTCTCTGGGTACAGATTATTATCTCAATGTCCCATTTACAGAGAGACACATTTTCCACAAGGAATCTTAAACTTGGATATTCCTTTTTGATACAACAGATTACAGTATAGTGCACAGATTCTGTATTACTTACCATTGTCAAAGTAAAACTTGTGGAACTCCATGCCTTCTATCATGTTCCCAAACGCTTCAGGCTCAAAGCATGTTAATGTGGGATCGACTAGTTTACTGAAATAAGTATTAGTCTTCTGATTAACAAGACATGAGATACAGTGCACCTAATCAATTATAACTATATGTATAAATGTATTCTAAAACTGTATTTTGTTCCATGATCAATGATTTAATTCCATTGAAATTTCTGGATGTAATAATAAGTTTTAAAACATATTATATTATGTTTAGTGTGCTGCTGTGACATAATCATCTGAATAAAAAATAAACAAGGCTAAACAAACAGACAAATCTAATCAGTTCTTAATTTTCATACCAAGAAATTATGGCAGCCATATTAAAAATCGAATATATTTCAACCTGCTAAATGCTGATCCTTGACAAATTGTACCTTTATTTAATATGATAAAAATTTCATCTATTACAGTATATACTTACGTATATGCATCATAATCTCCTCCAGTTATGGATGCGATCAACTGTTCAGTAATCTTCACTATCTCTTGCTTCCTCACTACAGAACAAATAAAGAACAAACAAATGTAGAACATCTATCTTGAACATCAGTAATGCTTTCCCGAGGATTTATTTTTTGTATGGAGGATGTTATAGGCTAAGATTTTGGGATTTTGTCATTTTCAGTAAACATTTCAAGATTTTTGAAACTTTAGCAGAGGAGCACTGAATAATTGGAGGTCGGGGTATTTGGATTCATTGTCGTTGCTGTGCTACAGAGATCTCAATGTAGATATTTTGTACATGTATACATACATATATATTAAACATTTATTCATCATACATACATTAAAAACAATATTTGACATTGTTTATTAAACTGAACACTGATCAATTTCCAAACATAAAATTATAGGCAAAGAGATGAATAGTTCACATTAAAAAATATAAATTTACTTCAGATGCAACATTTTTCATGTACATGTATTTATAACTTCTAACAATCCCAAACAATGCAACTCCATACTTTTAAAAACACTTTCTCAATTACTGTAAACTCTTCTAGACTTTTGTTATGCCTTGGTCACATTTGCTCCGATTTTCACTACGGCGCCTGGCCGATGGAATATTTTGTTCAAAATTGTATACAATATTGAACAAAACACTCAATCAGGCAGGCGCCGGTTGATGGATTGGAGCAAATGTGACCCAGGCATTATGTAGACTGAGTGTTTAATCTATGATTCAGTGTCGCATATTTTATTTGTTTGACTGAATATTCTCTCCAGAAAGTTAGGTGTGCATGTGTTTTGTAAATTCCCATGCAAAACTAATTTTGAGGGGAAATGAACATGAAATCTGTAATGAATTCTTGCAATGATATCTTTATAAAGCTCAACATAGCAGTCCTTGTCCTTTTAGAACTTGTAGTTATAAATGATTTGATGCAAGAGAGCATACATATGCAAGAAACAGATTCCCACTAGTCTGAACTACTACAAAACAATATCACTATTTCACACATTGACTCCCTCTATACAAGAACATTCAAGACAATTCCATATTCATGTAATTGAGAAAGTTATTCCAAAATTGGAAGGATGCATTTTGCGGGTCAACCTGTCTAATCCAAATACACTATTTCACATATAGGTGCTCGGATTAGAGAGGTATTCAGATATATACAGGTTTTACAGTAAACAATGCAGAAGAACACCAAATAAACTGGAGAAATACTAAGTTAATAAAAGAAAGAAAGAACATGGAAAACCAGGGTTAAACCTACATTTACATTTATAAAACTAAACATATATCGACAACCACATGTACATATATAAAAATAAAATCATATAAAAATAAAAAAAGCTTTAATAAAGAAGAATATGTTGTAATGTAAGAGTGTAATCATTTTTGAAGAAAAGTGGCACAGATGACACTTAATGCAGAATGTTCATGTTGAAGTGAAAGATAATCCCAAGCTTCAATGTTTTATAAATAAATAAAAAAAGGAGGAGGCTAATGTTTTACTCGCAGCTAATGTGATGGGCCTTATATTCAAAAAATACTTTCAATAAAATATTTGTCTAAAGACTTCAAATCAAATTATTTATTTGGAAATCAATTCATATCAAGATCCTTTTCTATACAAATAAATATTATTTTACATAATAATCTTGTTACCACGTCAATTTTTATCAATTAAAGTAAATAGGGCTGTTAGGATTTGAGATGTCACAAGTGTGACATTGTAAATGTGTGATCCACAAGTGTGACATTGTAAATGTGGGATCCACAAGTGTGACATTGTAAATGTGGGATCCACAAGTGTGACATTGTAAATGTGGGATCCACAAGTATGACATTGTGGGATTCACATCATGTATTATCCCTTGAAATAGACAAAAGTTTCAGTGATAAAAACTCATTAATCCAAATGCAAATGGAACAAATTATACCAGATTGAAATTGATATGGCAATGACAAGTGACATCAACAGTGGTGAAAGCAATGAACCTAATAAGTGATTTGCCGCCAAATAAAAAGTGGTTCAATACATCAATTTAAAATGATATGTACAACTAGACTAGAGTGAAGTTGGGATCATTCATTTGTTTCAGAAACATTAGACAGGGACTTTCAAGGCAATGAGGTGTTTGATTTTAATAACGTTGAAGCTAGAAAAATGGTGAATTTATGTTAGGAATATAAGTGATCTATAAACCAAATACACTTAAGCTAGCCAATCACAACTCAGTAATACATAAATTATGCTATATATTAAGGATATACGGAGGTAGTGTTTCCATGCATATTGAAAGCTCATAGAGGTTCAGATACAATACATAACTCTTATTGGTAAGATGAAATACTTCACAATAATGAAACTGAACCAAAGAGAACATAATATGAATACTAAATAAACTCAAAAGAATTTTTGTTGAAATTGATTTGAGAGCCGCACCTTTAGGTCGTGGAAAGGAACGTTTTTTCTCCACAAGTATCCAACCAAATGCGATTGTAGTTAGAAGCGAAACTATTATTAGTCCCAAGAGGATCATTTCTCGCATGGATAAGGGTTTAGCAGTGAATATAGTATGTGTTGTGATTGGCTGCAGTGCGATAATTGCTATGGTAACAAGAAAAGCAATTGTAAAACACATTTAGTTAATTTAGTTATGCTTGGAGTAGAATCTATTTCTCAGTTTCGCCCAAATCAAACCATAAGAGTTAAACTTTATGAATTCATGTCGTATGATGTCCCTATTTTGTTTTATTTGTTTTAATGTTAGAAGTAGGCCATGAACAAGAAAACTTTATCAAGAGACACAAATGTAACACATATGTAGTAGATGTAGATATGTAGTCAAACACACTTTAAAATTAGTAATCTGGTTCAGGATAACAAGACAAGGGACACGATGGGATATTTAGACATAAAAGGAGGGCTTTTGATACTAAAAATGGTTCTCTAATTGTCACCAAATCACCGGTTTTGACCAGGTAGTCTTGATAAATTTTCATAAAATAATCAATTCCCTCCTTTGCCCAAGAGTTGAGAAAATGTTCAATAGGTGGCTCTCACTTCAAAGGTTCTAACATTTTTGCAACATAACATATGCAATATCATTGGCAAAATTTTGATGAAATTTAGAAAGAATGAGATGATTTAGCTTTTGTATTCTTTCTTATCAAATAAAACTAATGAAAACTAAACAAGGTCGTCCCAAGTGTCAAAATATTACTATATTGTGTCACTACAAATTGTATCATGTTCGCAAAAAAACTTTTCGATTGTGAGAGTTATCAAGAGGAATGAATTCTCTTTGGCCAGAAATATGACCTAAACAGCCCACCGTGTATAACATTACATAACATTCTACCCACCAGATACATTACTTACAAGTATTGCCCTTTTCACTTCTATCTACTTGACTTTTCTCTGATTCTGGCATCAATAAATAATGCAAATCAATTACAAATATAAAAAAAAAAATATAACAAATGAAGAAGTAGAAGCAAAGACAGTCTGCACTGATAGAGAAAACCAATACACCAATCCACCACGACTACAGTTTAGCAAGTTTTGTCAAAAACAGAACTTGGAATGGATTGCAAAAGGTAAAATTAAGCATGAAGCAAAATAAGATAATCTATGTGGTGGCCATTTTGAAAAGAGACCCCTTAGAAAAGGTTACATACTTCTAGTGTCTTCATCCTCCAGGGTTGTGCTGCTGTCTGTGGACTCCTTGATCCCATCATTCTTCTTTACCATCAAACTCTTGCCTGCAATACCAACCATGTTAACAATTGCTTGTCAAACATATTAATATCAAAACAGATAATGAAGGTCCTGTAGTCCTATAGAGATAATACCCACAAACTTTAGGAACTCTCCAATGATTTGGACTTTACAGATTGCTTATGCGCTGAAATACAACAAATCACACTCATTTCAATAAGAAGCACATTTTTAAGCTGAAAAGATTTTTCCAAATTACTTCATTATCCTTTTTTGCTTTTTATCTTTTTTATATTTTGATTTCCATACAATGCAATTATTATGATTTAGTCAAATTTAAAGTTGCTTTTAAATTTTTTTACCTACTCCCAAAATGTCGGTTTTCACCAATGTATACACCTACATTGTTCCTCATAATAAAATATATAAATGAACCAAAAACTCACTCCTTCTAATATGGAAAAATCTTAACATTAAAAATTGCTAATTAAATAACTGAAACTCATGAAAATACATTACATATTGCTAATAGCAATTATAAGCAATTTGGAGCATATTCAATCCATAAATAATTACAATCTTGAATTGAGGTCCTATTTTCAACAGCCATGCTGAAATAAATGTACAAATCAGTTCCTAAAATACTACCATGTAAACTGGCAGAGATTTCAACTTGCATGCTTTTTATTTTAAACTCAGCAACAATGATACATCAACTGCGATATTGGAAAACAAAGCGAGGAAGTAAAATCTAAATGAGATTATTCATTTTATAATTTGATCTAAGAGCGAAGTATTCCAAGTAGCAGCCCAGAGACAGAAATAGCAGGATAAAAATGCCAGCAAGAAAAGCATAAAAAGGAGTGGTATCGATATGGAGAACTGAATTCAACAATGTTTTTCTCTTAAACCAATCATTGAAAACATTCTGTAAAAATCACAGTATTTTATGTAATGTTGACTGATTGACAACAATTTAATACGAAAATTATTTAGAAATATTTTATATAACTGTTCTTGTTAACATTTTTTGTTTTTTAGTGCAATTGTTTTTGCTCCTTTCTACCAATTCTTGAGAATGAAATAAAATGTCTTTCCAAACCTTGTTGGAACAAAATTGCATATACAACATGTTTTTAGACCTCTCAATATTATAGTAATACAAAGGAATTTTTGGTTGATTTTAAAAAAGTATTCAAAAAATTAAAACAAACCCCCCCCCCCAAATAGATAAAAATCAAGATAAACCTTTTATTTCATTAACAAGATACTTTTTAAAATCAACCAAAATTTCCTTTGTACACTTACAATATTGAGAGACCTTAACATGTTGTGTTTATGTCGTTTTGTTCCAATGAGGTTCGTAAAGATGTTTCATTTCACTCTGGAAACGTGATACCAAGAACAAAACAAGTGTTTGATGTGTTTTCTAAAACAATATAGATGAAAGTATATATATATTTTTCAAATTATATTGTTACCATTCAAAAGATGACTATTAAATTGACAATGTGTTAAATTTTTAGATTTTTTTTATGACTGGTTTAAGAGAAATGTGTGTTCAAAAAGTTCTCCATATCGATACCACTCCTTTGGATAAATATGAAATGTTAATATAAAGGTGATAAAATCTATTCTAGAGTCTAAAAATTACCTGTTTCTTGGATTCAGTTAGGTTTGAGTAAATTCTATTGTTTTCTCATATCATACTAATTCTGTCCAAATTCTCTCCTAGTTTCAACAAACTTTCTACAAATGCCAACCATACGGGAACCTAATTGGAGTGATTATTTTTGGCAGTTTAACCAAAAAAACAACTAAACTATACAAAACTTTATGGACAGTAATATGGTTTAAATAAATATAATGCTCCCTATAGTCGTTTGATAAATCATGGGTAAAATGGGCAAAACACAATGCTCCACTTAGCACTTTGATAAATCATGGGTAAATGGACAAAAAACCTAAAATGCTTCATATAGCAGTTAGATAAATTATGGGTGAAATTATAGGATGGGAGACTTGAAATAATATGGCTGTCAGAACTTTTCATTAGTCAACTGGGGAACTTGGGGAGAAGTAATCAACACAGGTAGTGTGAAAAACTAACCTTCACTTTTATCACCGTGTAATTTTTCTGTAATTGCTGCTATGCTGCGCTCAGTCAGTGTTTTCTCTAGCGAGGGTTTCTCGCTGATGATACTTAATTTATTTTTAAGATCATTGAAAACGGGAGCTGCTGGTTGAGAACGTTGCTGATTTTGTTGTTGTTGACTTGATCCTCCAGCTACATTAAAAATCACCATTAATTTTGAAAATGTGATTTAAGATTTTGTTGATTTATAATAATACATGATTGTGAAATCATTGCATTTACATGCAGTGGTGTTAAATTGAAATTTTGTCATTCCCAAATAATTAACAAAAAGAGGTGCAAAATCCACACTCACTCCAGAGGATGGGTCTTCTTTCAAATTTGTTTGATTTAACAATATGCAATTTTCAATAATATACAAACAGTACATCAACGAATGTAACAATGAAGGAAAGGAGCCGGGAATAACATATAACATCTAATTCACAACAATAGAACTTTCTGGTGCCAAGGAAAGCCTGGATGGCCCGCTTAAGATGGGAAAATACCAGACAAACGTTAATAATTTGATATAAGTCCATAATTTGATGATTGAAAATAAATTTATCAGAATGTTAAATGTTAAAATTAAAATTTGGCAATTGTTTTTTACTTTTTACAGTGTTGATATCATTAAAATAAATTTACTTAAAGGATTGGGAATGAGTAACAATAGATAAATATCATCACTCCACCATGCACCATATGACATTGATTGAAATATGAAATTAGGGATAATTTCAAATGAACGCGTATAAGTACATATTGATTAAAAGACAAGGCAGTACCCATTTCCAATGCACATGGTTTTCAAAAGTTTGAAACAGAAACCAAACCTTTTTGAAAAGAAGACCCCTTCCAACTTAACAAATCAATGCTTGCACACACAAACTCTTATGATTAACATAGTGAAACAGTTGATGCCACAGAATTACTGTTTATGTATACCAGTACAGTCAACACACTATCTATACTTACATACATGTATACATACACAGTACACAAAGAAACAATGACAATCATTATTTGGTATTATGTATAACATATTATCTAAATCTTAAATATAAAAGTGATTTTTTCAGGCATAATTTCCATTATGTTATGTGATTATAAATATAACTTCAGAAAACGAGGGTAAATTTTAATGATCTAAGTCATCTAATCTAGGTCATTTTTAAATGTCTCATAATCTTCCTTCTTTTCCACTTAAAGGGAGTTGAATTCACATGTCATCAACTGTTACCATAACGAAGGGTTCAAAAAACAACACAACGATCTGTAACTAACTTCAGCACTATCATCTAACTAAGACTAGTGTAATGATCCATTGGTAAGATCATGTTTTCTTATTCTACAAATTATAAACCATACAACATACTTTGTTCACATTCATGTTAATACATTCATTTTGTTTCAAGAAGCCAATTGCTTGAACGAATCATACAACTTCTATGTTTTGTTTAATTTTGTTTAAGTAAAATGAATGAATCTGTTTTAGAAGGCGAGGTAATTTTTATGTCTATAATGGTTAGTGGTAGAGTTACACTACACATATTTATTTAAAGGAAAAAATACATTGCAATACAATTTTTCATTATATATGAGGAATTGGTCCATAAAAGTTGTGCATGAAAAAGTGGGATTTTGTGAGTCGGCTTATATAACTGTCACAAGACTATAATAGGTGAGAATAGAAGGAAAGGAAGAGAGATGACGTGAAAAAGATGTCTTGATCGCGCATCCTACCTACAAATGATGTGACCAAGGCAGAGCTATATTATAATTGCTGCCATTCCCTACTTGACTACCGCATTTATGTTTAAAACTACTTGAAGCTACTCAACTATTCTCTTTGATATGGAAATACTATTAATATAGAAAAGATAAGAAAAATGGAGGAAAATAATTGTCTTAAAATAATTTTATGTCAAAATTAAAAGAAAAAAATGAATGTCAAATTGTTAACAAAAAGTTATTATAAATCTGATAAGGTTATGCAAGTCAACTTGAAACTGGTGCTTCGAAAATGAATGATGACATAAAAACTTATGAACATTTACAGAAATCTCTTAACAAAATAATAAGGTTTGTGTTCTGTAAAGGATAAGAGTAGAATGGGACGCGACAAAATTAAATAAGTTTGCTATTATGTCCAAATATGGGAATTTAAATACAAATTACATGAGTTCAGTTAAAATAATCTTCTAAAATGTGAAAGCAAAATGTAAAAAAATGTTGAACATATTAACCTCTTGAATCCCAGGCTCTAAAATTGGCATGAAACCAGAGAATTTTTCATTTTTTGCCACCTTTTGACATTTTATTACATACCTATACAACTTTAGTTGCTCAGCTTAGTAAAATTGGACGGCAGAGATCATTTCTACACGTTTTAAAACAATTTTTGTGTAAATTGAATGAAAATTGTTCAAATGAGAGCAATTTTTGTGAAAAATTTTGTGACGGATTTTCTCGTCCCTCTGGGCACCAGTCTTATTTCATTTGTGACGGATATATCCGTCACTCTGGGTATTCAAGAGGTTAATCATAGTGAAATTAGATGGGAATTAAATGAATGGAAGTTTGAACAAAGTATCCATCACACATACAAACACACATTACATATATAGACCGTGTACAGACATACATTACCTCGCACATAGAGAGGGAAAAAAGATATCTAAATAACAAGGGATACAAGGACTTTGACAAAGTTAGGCCATATTGAAAGCGTTTAAGGTAGGTAGAATGGTGGAAATTTAGATTTTGAGGTCAATCAAATTTGATCTACAGCAACCGTATGGAGGCGACAGCTTCCCAAAATCGAGAGACTTATGCAGCATAAAACAGGGATAAGCCCTATAATGTAGATTTTCTATGTCAATTTTGTGAAGCTATGGCTGCTGCACAGCCGCTATAGAGCAAATGTGACCAAGGCTTTAACAACATCAGTATATGCTATTGATGCACGCTTGCCTAATGAACTCAATATATCCCTTGTTGATGACATACACCTGGATAAAACATAACATTTTCCAGATGTATACTACACTGAGTAAAACTATAACATTGGAAATGACAAATTCTCAATCAGTAAGAGTTTAAACAAAATATAGACTTTTGTCAACGTAGATGGAGAAGAGACCAGCAACTACCTATATCACTCAGAGAGGGCTCTTATACAAACATTTCATGAGAAGTTTAGAGCATCATCTATAGTTCTACAACCTCTATCATCTAACTTTCATAATCTAACAGTGACTCTTTGTGATTTTAATGATTGAGCAGGGAAGGTATGAATAATATGGATGAGGTGAATGATAACTCTTGTTAAATTCTAAAAAAAAAATTCTAAAATATTCGTCACTCGCTGTTTGAATTACTTCCTGAGATTCTCATATTTAATGACTGCACTTAAAGTGTGCATATGTGTGACTAATTCACTAAGTCAAATGTGTAAAATACAGATGCTAAATAAAACAATCAGTGTACAAGTATATCATAACTGATCAATACAAGGCATTAAGGTTCAAACGAATAGTCAATTCTCATACCAAATATTCGGACAGCTAATCCCCGTTTGGAACCAACTGAAATGAATAGTTAACCAGAAAGTGACTTATTATTGACTTTAAGATATGTAAATGGTATATTTGTTAGTTATGTATTTTTTGTTAGGTGTGTGTGTTCGTAAGCAATGCCACTTGCTTAGAAATGTGAAGAGTTGTGCACTAAGACTTAATGGTCACACTTTTCTAGTATAATATCACCAATATGAGCTTTCAAACATTACTTATTTGATACTGAGTTTTTGACTATTTGTGCCAACCCAAAAATATATTAGTACAGTACATAGTTAAGAGATGTCACAACATGCAAGTTTGAACATCATATCTCCAAGGAGATGTTCAACAAGCGTAATAAATCAAAAAAAAACGAAAGCAAAAGTAATGCACTCCCTAAAATTTAAAGCATGCAACTAATAATGACAGTTCATGATATTGAGAAACAGTGCACCAAATCTAAAACTAAAAAGTATTTAAATATATAAATTAAATTAAAATCTCATCTATAGAATTCTATTTAGGATGTCATCTATTTCTACATTTATTTTTGACAACAATATACACTAAACTCAAAATACAAAATAAGCGGCCAAGCTGAGAAGTCATAGAAGATATTTGCATCAAGATAGATAAAAAGTGCTCTGAATCTAAAAAAATAACAGAAAACATTCTGAATCTAAAACCTTTCTGGCAAAATTGAATGAATTCATGGAAGGAGTATAGGCAAATGTAAATGCATTCTGTATAAGTACATGATATTTAATTTGAAAGTAAGGAGGTAGACTATTTGAAAGAGGCTGCTGCCAAAGATAGGGTTAAAGATGACAAAATAACATCCAAATGTAAAATTGTTGAATGAAAAATTGATGTCAAAACACTAGCCTATACATGGATGTCTTTCATGATTGTTTGTGTTTTGGTTGATGCAATTTATATATATATGAATACAGGGAGATGTTACTTTACTTTGATTGCTTTTCAAGGGGACGGCTATTCCAAGGGTTTTAGGTACATAAGTACCTCTTCAAGATACACAGTGTTCTAGATACACCCCATCAAGGACTTCTTAATGCATGGGTGCTTGCTGGAGGTTCTTAATACACCTCAACAATGAGACCAAGGTGTTCCAAATATACAGATAACTCCATAAAGGTTCAAAATACACCCCATGAAAGAGTTCTAAATAGACATGTAACTCTCAAAGGGTTCAAGATATAACTCACGAAGGAGTTCTAAATATATATAAGTAGTTCCATAAGGTTCACCTAGATATACCTCACTAAGGTGTTCCAAATGTACAGGTACCTCTTAGAGGTTCTAGACCTCATCAAAGAGTTCTAAATATACAGGAAACTCCGGAGGATTCCAGATACACCTCATCAAGGAGTTCTAGATATACAGGAGACTCCTGAAAGGCTTGAAATACCAGGAGTTTAGATTTAGTATTAGGTACCCCCTGGGACACCTCATCTTATTTATTTCTTGAACTTCAATGGTATGAAGAAATAATAAATCCATGCCATTGTTATTCCAGTGACCTACTCATTATAGTCAATACTTATACATAAAAAAATTAAATTCTATGTTTTCTCAACCGGTTAAACGTCTACATATTAAGGAACATACCTGCATTGACTATGCCCTGGGAACCACCATTGGTAGCTGGCGTGACCGAACCTGGGAGTGAAACATACAGAGAACTAAGCATGAGTCACAATGAACCTCACACATTAGCACTCAAGTCAAAAAAATTAAAAGAGAGTTTAAAAGTGAGAAATTTAGTTTGGATATATAAAAATCAATGTAAGTTGAAATAAACCAGAATTTTAAAATAAAAACTCGTATATACAATATACTATTTAAAATATAATAAGTATAAATGAATTGTATTAGAGGATATGAAGAAAAAAATGGTTATTTGAAGATGCTAATGTGCTTGGTATAAAGCTAGTAGATTATGTATAATTCAAATTCACTGAATTCCAAATAAAAGGACAGATTACATATTTTTACAAATACAAATCAAATCAAAATTATTATGCATAATCTACCATTAATATTCCATAGTAAGACAAACTTAAATACCATTTGGACTGAAATTTTGTCTACAAAACAAACATTACCTGTGAGAGAAAGTGTCAACAACATGCATAAGTGGTTGTAACTAATATAGTCTTTGGAGAACAAATACCATTTGGTTTTCAACATTTAGTTCTTACTTTAACATTATTTACACCTGCCATATTCAATGATACTATTCATATTCTTAAGTTGATTACACATGTAGAAAACAAAATGTTTTTGCTCACCAAAGAGTGTTGATTATAAGCATTTTAATAATAATTATCTAGAAGAAAATTTCAAGAATAAAAACAAATTAAGAGTAACCTTGAAAACCTCAAAAATATGTTAAGTAATGTTTTAAAAAGTCAAATATGGTAGTAACAAACGCTATCAAAGCAATTATCAGTCATTCATGACCTTGGGTAATGAATATCTTACAAAGGTAATGAGGATGAACATCTAGAAAAATGATAGAGAAAGAGATGGAGAAAATGGATGTGATGACAATGTATCGCAATGAGGATGCTTTCTTTAATGTTCGCAAATAAGTACTGTAGCCTAAGCGCATTTGGTTTTTCATACAAATTAGTATAAACTTTCAAAACAACACAATTTGCACCAGTCTAGCCTAAAATACTGTACATGATAGAGGCAGTAGGAGTCTTGTATCAGACATCATGGAGTAAGGAGTGACACACAGTGATACACACACTTTCAATGAATGTCTAGTGATTCAAATAAAAACCTTAGTTTAGGAAATTGGCGTAAGCGATCCAAAGGCCACATTATATATACAGCAACACCAATGTGTTGTTCATATTCATTTGAGCATGGAAAAGAAACTTCATACATGCTGTCATCTATGAATGTTCATATCAATTATATTTATTGTTGTGCTGCCATCTTTTAAATAAACATCAAATAATATAGCCTTTGCATATACTGCCATCTATATGTCTGATGCCCTGTCTATTCATGCATGAATCAATCTATACTTTACTTGTACTTGAATCAGATTCCTGCTTCTTCACTGAGCCTTTTAAATCAATCAATTAATAAATCAATCAATCAATCAATCAATCAATCGATCAATAAGAAGAACAAAAATTATATAGGACCCTATAAGTAAAATCAAAATCACTAGATCTATATATACATTTACTATAATGAATTAGGATAATTTACTTTGATTTGACGGATATCTACTAATCAGATAAATTAGTATCCATATATGACTATATTATAACATTTATTACAAAATATTTATTATACTGTTGTGGTGGTATACTAAATCTACAAATAAATTAGTACTATTAAACACTCCATTATCAAATAATTTGGAAGTCATATTTATTAGTAATTGTAGGATCATGCAATAAATTTAAATCAAATTGATTCTAAAAATCCAAAGAAAAAACAAAAGTATCTATGTTATATAAATATATATAAATTAATGTTCAAAAATATCAGTAACTTATACGTCACATTCCTGATGATGTAAATGTGAATCTTAAATATAAAAGAACCCTAACCAATAGCTGATAAATAATTGGGTTAAACTAAAAACTATTCATTAATTTTATCTAATTTTAACTAACTATCTCTCTAATTTGGGAGCGTAAAAAAAAATACTTAATATGTAAATCAAAGTACAAAATCACATAAAAATGAATGCAAAAAAAATTAAGAATAAATACAGGTATGAGTTTATGTTGGGATTAAGTATATGCCTTTATATAATTTCAATTAATTGTATTATATTAATAGTAACTTATCTATTAGATTTGAAGATAGGAATTTAACTTTTTATGCAAACATTTTTACCCAGCTTAACAACCATTTTCTCCCCATGTTAATGCTATTTTAAGTGGATTTATGGTTAGGTTTTATTTTACATTGCTGACCAAGCGGGAAGGTCAATGATACAACGATTATATTCCCGAGTTAATTTCATGTATATTAAGTATATATGGTTAGGTATTATTATATACTCCTGACTAAGTGGGAACTTCCACAACCTAAGCCTGATTAAAGCTTTTTTAGACTTCAAATTATTACATTATTATATGAACTCATATTCAAAATTTTCATCAACTTTCTCATGGGTGGTTGGACATAAATGGTAATGAGAATATTTACGAAAATTAAGAAGTACCGTAGATTAAAAACCATGAAACCATTATGTTGAGCTTGGTGTTAAGATAATTATCATATCATTGCAGATTCTAGAACTTTATTAGATTTTGGGTCAAGATTTGTTCTAAAATCTGCACAATCTAAAGATTAGAGGTGTGTGTTACAATATTATATATGTGTTAAGACCCCATATACTGATTATCCATGGAAGGCCCCATATACTAGTTACATTACCTTGGGATGACCCCATACTAGACAGACTACTCGCTAAGATTGAAAGAAAATTCACAATAATTTTTATATCAGAAACAATCTAAGATTTAATAAATATTTTAATAATAAAATTCTAAATGAAATAAACAACATTTCAAAAATATTTTGGTTCAATTTCTTTTAATACTCAAGTCACATTTTATTCAAATGATTACAGAAATATTTTGCTATTCTACCCTTGTACCACAGTGCACTTTATTATTCACAATAAAGCATATACCAGGAATCCCATTAATTAAAGGAAGATTTATACAGGAAGTATTGAAGGATAGGAAATCTGGTAAAAAGAGACATGTTTAGAGCAATTTCAGTGACTTACGAATTATTTAGCAAGATTTTGGTGGTATGATGCTGTAATGTCTCATAACTCAGGTCTCAGAATATTATGCATTGAAAGTTGAAAATTAGATTTAGAGAAAATATTAAATATTATCAAAGTGTATATACAGATATCTTCAAGTTAATAGATTATATTTTGATGAAATAGTGAGAAAATAAAATAAGAATCATAATCATTGGAGAATCCCTATTACTACAACACAGGATGTCAGCAAATTCTGCATGCTGCCCCAAATTCAAGGAATATTCCAAAGAATGGGAAGATTCCCATCTAGAAAATAGCTACTGATAGAGTAGCAAATCCCAATGAACAAAATATGTTTTTCCAAATAAAAAGTCTAATAATAGTCTAGTTTTCCAACACAAAGCATTCTGTATCCAAGCTGATATGCTTTAAACTTCCATTTCAAAAACATATTCTAAACTATCATATTATTATCTACTCTATATAGGTCATATAGCACATATCCCATAATTCCAAAGTACATCCTATAATTTTGGTTAGGATATGAATGTGAAAAAGGGGAAAATAAATTAAATAACAAACTTCTATCCAAAACTTCATTAGCCTTAAAGTGATCGCCAGCGACCATCCAAGCTTTTAAGGAATTCTGGGTAATTACTTTCGGCTATTTCTACAGCTTACTAACATCACATCATCATCTAGGTTTTACCCAGAATCCTTTGTATCCAGGAAGCAGCTGTAGCTGTATGTAGCAAGTAACAGCAGAATATGGATAAGTAGGGGTAGGGGTTGGACAATCTGAACATATTCATTAAGCAACAGTCTTCTCATGAATTTGTAAGTTCCAATAAATTTCAGGTAACATTGATTGATATCTTTCAAATATTTAGGGCGAACTTTTTCATTTAATGTTTTGCTAAATGAATATGTCAGTGAAACATTGAAAGTGAAGTAAGTAACAAAGGAGGTATTCTACCACTTGGTCTGATAAAGTTCTATGGGGTCTCATTTTTTAAGGGCCAAACTGTCCAGAATATATATAGGCTGAACTGAAATGAATTTCAGAAAATCATTCCAGGTCATCCAATATAAATAAAACATCTATGATCATGCAAATAAAACATAAAATGAATATGTTTTTTAATATCCGAATAGACCAAGTGGCATAAAGTTGCCAGGGTAATAAGGGTTTAAACAAAAGTAATGAAAAATGCAACATACAAAATGGGGAGATTCCTGATACAACAATATCCACTTACTTTTATCTTTGCTTACTATATAGATAAAGCAAATAGGAGACAAATGTTCAGTACTGTACAATAAAAACATGCCCTCTTCAGGACTTTATAACAAAAAACATGCCCTCTTCAGGACTTTATAACAAAAAATTGGGACACCCTGTAATATGGATCACTCACCACAGTTAATAACAAAATTTGGCTATAATGGCAAGTATCTAGAAAATATGGAGGCTATATGTATATATGTATGGTTAACCCATGCAGGCTGAAGACCTTACACCCTGTTAATGTAATTCAATCACTGTACATGAACCTCATAGCCTCATGGTGTTGGTTGCTTGAGGCCATGTAGCACATTCCAGCGTTGAAGGGATGAAAGCCAAGACAGAACGTCAAGAGCAAAATCACAAATTTCACGCCAAGTCCACTCCAAACTAATGAAGGTTTAAAAATGCTATTGCTCTATTAGCCTGTAGTTCTATTCGTAATAGGGATCAATGAACTATGAATTGAAATATTCCCATGCTAAAAATCCCAAACGCTAAAATTTGTAAACTGGAAGACTGTGGAAAGTTTTTAACAATTGGTAGAGTATAACATTCTCATGCTTACTATATATTTATACTAAACGGTACTATACTAAGTGCTCCTGTTTTAAGTAAATTCATCCATTCACCAATATATTCATTCTTTACTGTTAGTTGGATTCATAACTAGCCAAGCATACATACACAGAATGGGTTGTTCAAAATGTTTTCACGACTTCATGATGAAAGTATATCAAAACATTTTGAACAATCCAACCATTCCAATGTGTAATATATTGCAAGCGAGAGTCTGCTAAAATACATTGTACATGTACCATTATTAAAGCATATAGAAGCAAACAACAGGAATCGGGTGACTAATCTGTTCAAACAACCCATAACTCTTTATCTACAAATATGGAGAACATTTTCTTTTAAATTTGTAAAATTTTATGCTTAACAAATGTGAATCCAAGACTTGATTAGCAAAATGTATGAATACAAGAAAATGATCTAATTTTTATTTTTGTCAGCCATGGAAATGTTAAGAAATTTTAAACGAGTCAATTGTTATTGTTCAAACATTAGTCACCCTGTAGCATACAAGTACATCCTTTTATTCCTTAAATACAATACATTTGTCGTAAGGAGCACGCACGCAAGCGCATATGCGCCAAAAATACCATTGGCCATTCAAAAAACTCTATATTAAGGTGCGCAAGTTGTTTAGTTAAGTAGGGTTAACGAGAAGAAGGTGGGTGTCTGATCTTTCACTCACCCGACTGGAACTTTTGGCTAACTAACATTGTGGTCAATATAGCCCCCTAAAATCAGATGATAACGTCACTTTACTATATGATATTTAGACTAGACAACAAATGGTTTACTCACTTGAAAAATTCCTTTTAACCAGCATGGTAGTTAGGATGGCACCCTGGAATATTAAACGCGTCCAGGGGATTACATCATATACATGGCATATCTAAATATGGATTTAATTTCAATCTATTTCAGCTATTACATCATATACATGGCATTTTTTATATGGATTTAATTTCAATCCATTTCAGCTAAATATTTTTTCATTTTAACAGATTTTAGAGATCCAAGATACAAAAATACAATAAATGACATGTTAAATTATCAAGGTATAATCATTAAGGGTTGGCACCATTAAACATATCCTCGTTATCCCCTTCCCTACATTAAGTACATTTTAAAGTACATTTAGTTTGATTTATTGTTCATTTACAAATGTTCTTCTTTTCAATAATATTCATAATTCAATTAAGCTGTAACTTATTTTTAATTGTTTGAGCTCTTAGGTGAGATTCACAAATAAATAAAAGTTATAGAAAATATTTTGCACTGTTTGGAGGGTGTACATGGAATAAAACATAATACAACAATACATTTAGGTTGGTGCCGCTAAAATGGATGAGAAATATTAGAGATTACACGAATGGCATGCTTACCATACAAAAGTCGATGGTTTTGAAAATTATCAAAAACTTGATAATATCTTTTTCATCTAATTAAAAATGATAAAGCATGCATGGATTTATCATATATATTCTAACACTAATGGGTATTTAAGCTATAAACCTTTTAAATATTGTATATCTCAAAAGGGAATCAATAAGTTACAACCCCCTAATTTGAAATATGCCTCTGTATATACATGACATGTATTCCCACATCAAATATAAAAGAACCCCTGTATAAACAACACGTATCCCAACATCAAGCTAAGTTAATATGGAGCCCCTCCTATATATACAACATACGGGGTGTTTCAAAAATTGCAACCAATCTGACAATGCATATCTTTAAAAATTTAAGTATGACAAATCTTGTTTGGCATTAAAGTTGGTTCAATGTTCTCTGACAAAGTTTCATCACTGAAGCATGTGTATTAGGGCCCATTTGCTGAACATGTCCCAAATTTCTACCACTTTTCTATAGACATACTTGTATATTCAAGAAAGATCCCCATATCAAGGTGAGATGATAGAGAACCCCTGTATATATAATGTCTTGCCAAACATCAATATGACGTGTTTAATACCCATTATATATACAATACCTTAAGTTTACGCCTGGCATTGAATTTCTTGAGGCAGTCTACTGTTTCTTGTCTATGTACTACAGAGGCAATTCTTTCTCGGTTCTGGAAAAAAGAGATAAAATCGTGTAAAATATGTAAGCAATCATCATTTAAATAACAGGTTGTTTTGTACTTCGAATCAATATTTTATTCTAAATAGTATTGGTTTAATCTTTCAAAATTAATGTCCACATTTTATTCTCAAAACATGCATCAAAAGTCCACGGACATGCAAAACATGTTTGACCTTCTCTATTTCATTTTAATAATTGATCAACATTCATCCTTTTAAACTTTCCTCATAAACACCCTAAAAGCGCTCTTTTAAATTCACGTTCAAGTTTTGATAAAATGGGAAATCAAAAGAATATAACCAATTCTGATGTATGTGTCAATTTATAGTTGATAATTTTAACTTACACATATCCATGGATGTTTAAGTGCCTCAGAGGCAGATATTCTTTTAGCTGGATTTACAGTCAACATGCTGTTGATGAGATTTTTAGCTTCAGGGGTCACTGTGTCCCATTCTGGTGATGGGTACTGGAAATAGATTGAATAAAAAAGATGTAAATGACAGGGTCAATACAAGGCATCAACATGCAAAATGTCACCACCTGACATTTGTTACAGAGGCCAAACTCTGAATGCCAAGCACTGGATGCCGAACTCCATCCACACAAGAGACAATATGTTACTAATTCTTGTGGTGACATAATAACATGTAAATGACCCTGTTGTCCAATAAGATAATAATTAATCACATTTTAGACCAACACAAATATATATTTCCCACAAAAATATACTGAACATTTATTAACTGCTTCACATTGAGTCCCTATATTTTAAATAAATGTAATAATTATTTTTTGTGGGTACATGGCTATAATACCATGGTCCCAGAGACACATAAAAAAGAAATTCATTATTCTATGATGGCCTAAATACAAACTTCATTTCATTCTTAATGTTCAAGAATTATTTTGCACATGCCCCTACTCATCAATCTTTTGAAGATAATAACGCTACCAAGAATATTAAAGGAGTAAGAGGCTTCATATCTGTATTGAGGAAATGTTTGATCTTTGGTTCAATAACTTCAAAACATCCTGTATGTGGAGTATTAAGCTACTGAGCCATCCCTTGGGGTCCTATTCGATTGATGGCAGCGTTACATTCAGAATCTGACTCTTAGCAGTATAATACAGAGTGACATTTTATTTTATGGTTGGTGTCTCCCATGTTAGAATAATGAGCCCTGATCTACAGATGGCCCGTGATCAATAATAATATCCGTAAAAGCATAAAAATAATGCTGATAAATGGCAATGGTGATTAATGGTGGGTTTGTGTCTTATCTCTTCCTATGTTATATATATCTCTCACCCATGAGATGCTTTAAAAGCTCCTATAATTCAATATGAACCTAATCTACATATGATGGGAATAGAATCTTCAAATAGGGATTTTTCACAATGACGCATGTCACGAGAATTACAATTTTTAAGATTCAGGACATATGATATCCAAGTGAATAACAACGTTGTTCATTTCATGAAATCCAATTGCATTTAATGGAAGTACGTTATTAAAGTTATTATAAAATTATGGATAATATATCAGAAATATCAGAAACATATTAGCACATACAGACAAAGGTGCATCAAATATCGGAAGGGCGTCAGAGAAGAGAATGTCACGAAATTATCGTAATTCTGAATATATTTATCCTACAAGGCAATATCACACTTAATAAGTCATTAACAATGCAAAATGTCACCACCTGCCATTTGTTACAGACACTGACCGCCAACCGTCGAATGCCAAACTTGTGGTGGTGGTGGTAGTGACATAAAAATCAAAAATCACAGCTTTAAAATTCCTCTCAGTTCTAGATTTTCATTCGAAGAAACACTTCTTAAATTCAAAATGAATCTGTCAAGTGTTTTGTCTGTAAAGGGCAAACCAACCAAATGAGACGCTATGACCAACAAAGCTTACAACAAGATAATGAGCCAAAAAATGAAGTTGAAGAACAATCTACTTTTCATTGTGTCTCCTGCAACCTAACAAGTTTACTTAAATTGCCAATAGCCCTTGAATTATGCATACAGCCTTGTCAGTGAACTGCTCTTGTCTTTGTAAAGGTATTCATTCCATAGAAAGGAGGTAATGAGAACTCAGTGTCCTTTTAATCAGAATCTTTATTTTTAGAGCTCTCTATTTATTTGATGGACAGTGGTTCCAATGGATATCCTGTTATTTAAACCCCTTAATCCTCACATTCCAATAGTCGAGAGCCGGTCAAGTTGACAGTACCAATAAAATTTGAATAATAATACGCTTCAACAAAGTAGATATGAAAATGAACACAGTCTTCTTCTGTTCTTCAAATACAATATATTACGTCTCAGTACTGAGAATTAAAGTGCTCAAAATCACACCTTGGTGGCAAACAATCTATTCCCATGGGTTATTAGATCGAAGTCATCAGTAAATGTGTGCCCACGAAGGACATTTTATCAAATATAATCTATGATCAGTTTTACTAGGGGTCCAGTTGGAACAAAACAATGTCTAAAACATATTAATCATTTGGGTGGTGGGGTTTGTTTTGTGACAGCCATATTGTCTTTCTGAGATAATAATTGAAGTGAAATAACCAAAAATGCATATGTTATACTCTCCAGGTATTCACTAAGACTTTCTGTCAATTTACTGAGTATTGATCGCAACATAACTGGCTTGAATTTCCCTTAGGAGCGTTAGAGCATGATATATGCTGTACATTACAGACTGGCAGAGGAACAACTGGCGGAATTATGCTAAGCCATAGACTGTCTTTCATTTTAAGGCACAATAAATTTGACATTAATTAGATTTAATGGCACTATGATGTGCTCAAGAAAAGGGAATATTGGATATTTTATAAAGGGAAGACAGGGCATCATGTCATGGGAGGGAAGGGCATTATGTCAAAGGTAGACAGGGCATTATATCAAGGGAGGCCAGGGCATTATGTAAAAGTAAGATATGGCATTATGTCAAAGGTAGACAAGAAATTATGTCAAGGGAGGACAGGGCATTATATATAAAGTGAGGCCAGGGCATTATGTCAAGGGACCACAAGACATTATGTCAAGGGAGGACAGGGCATTATATATAAAGTGAGGCCAGGGCATTATGTCAAGGGACCACAATACATTTTGTCAAGTGAGGACAGGGCATTATGTCATTGAAGGAAATGGCCTCAGATCAAGGGACGACAAGTGTCATTAGAGGGTAGAACATCATGCCAAGGGATCACAGGGTATTATATCAAGGGATGACAGGGCATTTTATACAGAGATCACACGCCATTATATCAAGGGAGGACAGGGCATTTTATCATGGGGTGGCAGGGCATTATATCAAGGGAGGCCAGGGCATTTTATAAAGAGATCACACGCCATTATATCAAGGGATGACAGGGCATTTTATAAAGAGATCACACGCCATTATATCAAGGGAGGACAGGGCATTTTATAAAGAGATCACACACCATTATATCAAGGGATGACAGGGCATTTTATAAAGAGATCACACGCCATTATATCAAGGGAGGACAGGGCATTCTATAAAGAGATCACACGCCATTATATCAAGGGAGGACAGGTCATTATATCAAGGGAGGCCAGGGCATTATATCAAGGGAGGCCAGGGCATTATATAAAGAGATCACACGCCATTATATCAAGGGAGGACAGGGCATTCTATAAAGAGATCACACGCCATTATATCAAGGGAGGACAGGTCATTATATCAAGGGAGGCCAGGGCATTATATCAAGGGAGGCCAGGGCATTATATAAAGAGATCACACACCATTATATCAAGGGAGGACAGGTCATTTTATCAAGGGAGGTCAGGGCATTATATCAAGGGAGGACATTGTATAACATCAGGATAACATGGCATATTACAAATATCACATTGCATACAATATTACTTACATCATATGCCCCTGCTTTTATCTGTGCATATAACCTATGTTGATCTTCATCCCAAAATGGAGGGTAACCCACTAAGAGGATATATAATATTACACCTGAAAAACAAAGACAGACAATCTTGAATTGGGCATCACAATTATATATATGGTTACACCAATTGGTTTAGAATTCATAACTTTGCTGTTTCTGTTAATATGACCCCTGAACATTATAAAGATTAAATTGGTCAAAAGAAAGTTAATGAGCACAAGATACTTGCGAGTCTTTTTAACATTGTTAATATTACCTACACGGTCACATTACCCTTGGGTTTCCTGATATGAAAATACTAAATTGATAAAGCGTGTTCATGAAGTCCCAAAAGATGAAACTTTACAGATGGACGCACCAACAACTAAGTCACAAGGAGATTCATTCAATATCAATTTTGTTGGGAAAATATAAGAAAAGCTTTAAACATCAATACTTCTTCTAGAGTCAAGGGTAGCCTTCAAAAACGGTTATTGTATTTGTATATAGGACTTTTTCATTTTTAGTAAATTGGATTCTAAAAATATAATTGCATTAATTGCTTATGGATCCAATCAATGAACTTCCTGTCTCAATTGAATGATATCATTCTAAGTCTCAGACCTACATTTCTGCAAGTAATAATATTTCAAATAAAATAAAGAATTGTAAAATAAAATAGAATTGTACGGCATATAAAAACTACAAGAGAGATAATTATGAAACTAATCAAATATGAGAAAAATCTAACCAAAAAGTGAATGACTCACCACATGCCCATATATCTACAGGTTTTCCGTATGGGTCTTTCCTTAAGACTTCAGGGGAGAGGTAGCCAGGTGTACCAGCAAAACCTTGGAAATTTTGGGGAAAAATTATGTTTATAAGTTCTTTCACAAACATCACACAATCCAGGAGGAATAAATATTAAATTGAATATAAAAGAAGTATCTGTGGATATGCCACCATTTTAAAGGTGAATAAATAATTGAAATTAAAAAATAAATGTGTAAAATCTTATGCTGGAATCACCTCCCGGATTGATGTGATGATGCTTTCATATTATGCATACATGTACCACATCATATGAACAGAATATCATTTTTATCCACCAGTTGATATCAATATCTGAACGATAGTGCAAAAATACATACAGAATACTGATCAATGAGTGGACTAAAATTCATAAAAAATCAAAAGGATGTCCTATTTATCCCATAGTTCACATATATATAGTTTTCAAATCTGTGAAAAAAGTGATATTTGTGGAACAATTTTCATACTACATGTATATCGCTTTTTCCATCTGATATCATGAGTATACAGACAAATTGACAAATCATACAAATTTGACCTCTACTATCATTGGTCAGTATTAGAAGGCTGTGGCCATTTCTTTCTGTTTCAAAATCATGGCGAATGGTGCCGATTTCATTACTTCTAGTTTTCATCAAATCAAACCGTGTCATTGACATTTAGCTTTGCCATTTCAAATCGCCAAGCTTATATATAAAAAAAACTCTGCGACATGATGAAGTCTCTATTTAATAAGGTCATAGTCTGGTTATTTTGATTCCCTTTATTAGTATTCATTGTCACAAACTGTATCTTTTTTTATTTTAGATGTTTCGATTGCTTGCTGCATCCATGATCACGAAATATTTTATATCGAAATTATATCACCATGGCAATAAATTATTTTTTACATTGTTAAGGTTCAATGACATAATAAGTAGATTCACCTGGATGTATTTCAACTATTTCATTTTAAAATATTTAGTGATCATGGATGCAACAAGCATCTGAAACGTCTAAAATAAGAATAAACTGTCTGTGACGATGAATACTAATAAATGGAATGATTAAGTTTTGCATATCAAATATTCCGATATTTCAAGTAATCATGTCATCAGGTTGCAGAGTTTCTATAAATTTCAAATCCAAATGTCCACAGCAAAGTTTAACCTGATGAAAACTAATAAAAAAAAATATTGTTACTGACACTTACTGTTATCCATTTTGAAAGAGAATATAATGGTAATTATCGTTTGATCTGTAAAATGAAACCCTCTGATTGGTCAGTTCTTGTGCAGTACCAATCTGTATTGCTACTGAGATTGTTCCCTCACCTTGTATTGGTACGGGATTGATCATCTCCGTAGCAATACAGATAATATTGATATGGAGGGGACAATCACAGAGCAAGTCAGAATATTTCCTATGGATTACCTCCTCAATAAAATGTATTGGCCTTATAAAGTCACACGATAAAAATGTTTTAGACAGGATATATCGTGCTCTTGATATTCTGTATTGGCACTCGACTTTGTCTCGTGCTCATACAGAATTTTCAAGCGCAATATATCCTGTATTGCACTTCAAATCATTCAATAACTTATATTAACTTTTCTTGATATGGACCAATGAACTATGGGATAATAGTTTATATATGTATTTGATAAGCTAGATCTCGACCAATTTTAAATTGTCTCAAGCTTCCTAAAACTATAAAATGTTCATCATTTTTAGTTTGCACATCAATTATTTCAATTGATTTCACACAACCATTTTCAACTTTACTAGGGAGACATAACTCAACATTTAAATGTCAACACATTTTCACTTTGTGTCATTCTATTCTCAAGTCAACACATTTTCACTTTGTGTCATTCTATTCTCGAGTCAACACATTTTCACTTTGTGTCATTCTATTCTCGAGTCAACACATTTTCACTTTGTGTCATTCTATTCTCGAGTCAACACATTTTCACTTTGTGTCATTCTATTCTCGGGTCAACACATTTTCACTTTGTGTCATTCTATTCTCAAGTCAACATATTTTCACTTTGTGTCATTCTATTCTCAATAACTGGTCCATCAATTGATTTTCATGATGTCAGAATGTTTAATAGACACTGGAATCAGTTGGATAAGCTTCAAAGGATTTACATTTGACACTAGAGAAAAACTCACAAAGTAAGATTTTTTCCATATCTGGTAACGCAAATCAAATGGAGCAAATCGAACAGCTTCAAAGTAGTGTTCTACTCACCAAACCACGCTTGTTGATCACCCTGTACTTCTATAGCTAACCCAAAATCTGCTAATTTTACAGCGGCCCCCTTTGCTTTACTAGCTAATAGTAGGTTTTCTGGCTGTAGAACACAAATAAATGTGCGTGAATTGTTTTGATTTGTTGTTTTAATTAATTATATACTAGTCAATTGTGTATGATGAAGGATTCTTTTGGTAATGTAGGTTTGTCTGCAGTGGGTGAATATAGGTAAATGTAATGTTTCATGTGTATGTATGTTACCACTTTTCAAAATCAATCTTTTCGTATAGATTCCACTAATCCATGTTGATAATATGTATATCTATTTATGTCATAACACTTTGGAAAAAATCAATCATTATGGAAAACAACATTTAAGGTAATTATTATTATTTCTTATAGTTAATAATAGAGCTAGAATAATGATGAACATATCATATCTCATCGTGTAGATGCAATGAACGGGACAATTCAGTAATTAATCTAGGCGCAATTGTGCGATTATATTCTAGTAGGCCTCGATTAATAATGTATTATTAATCTTATGGGTGCCCTTGATTCATTATCTCTTATTGAAAAGCAATTGATTAGAAATATATTGCTGTGAGTATGACAATAAGTCTGCGACCATAGATATAATAGGTCTACTACAATGTATATACAATGTAGATACTAAAAATGTCTATTGCCATAGATATAATAAATAGATCCATAGCCATGTATCAATGTCCTGTTACCAGGGATACCAAAAGGTATGTTACCATGGATACAAACAGTTTTATTATTTTAAATATCAATAGGTGGGTGGGTGTATCATTTAAATCATATATTGTATTTCATCTCTATAAATACTGCAGAATATATAACTTATTGAAGCACCAGGTGCATGCTCTAATATAACAGTTCAACATCACAATTACAAATAATAAATGCAAATGTGTGTAGATGAAATAACAAATGTGACTTCTGTATAACTGCATCAACATTTTCATATCTGTATTATTGATATCGAAACAGAGCAGACTATTTCGTTTTCATCTTTAAAGAATGCCTTAGGAGAATTATTTTGTTACTCGATAGCATATTTCTAAATGAAATGAGATTTTCGCCAGATGAGACAAGATTGGTAAAGCTTTCTAAGAGAGTAATTCAATAAAAATTATGTTACTATGGTAACCTGCAAATGACATAATAAACAGACATGCCTCAGTACATCTTGGTAATATATTCTCACATTTCAATCATGATAATAATGTTGTGTTAGTAATTCTCAAGTGTTGTATTTGTGTTGTTTATCATGTGTGTACTGTTGCTATGGTATGCAATGCATGGTTGCTATGGTGACCAAATTGCATGTTGCTTATTGAACCTTAACTAAGTGTATGGGCAGAGGCTGAGTGTGTCAGGATTAGTCTAACCAGGAAAGCACAGGGAAATGATGTAAGGCTAGCATAATTTTAGGAATTAAATGTTATGTATAGTACAAGTACAGGTTCCTCTCCTCCCTTCCTCCGTCACAGACGTCACAGTCGAGTCATCATGGTTGCCTGGGCGATTGTGGGTACAACTGCAGCTAAAGTGGCGACACTCATCTCGCAGTGGAGTCAAATACATAACAACATAGCATACTTATACATTATTATTGTGACTAACTATGAATACTCCTTAGACAATATCCACTTTACAGTAAAACATCATATATCAAACAAATAACAGACATAACAGAGTGCCATGAGAAATTTATCAAACTGAGTTCTATAACGACCAATTACCATTTTACCAAGGCCCTTTGTTAAGCATATATGTGGACCTACTGACAAGATAGACTCATTTGTGAGTAGAAGTCCATCAACAATGACAGATTATAAAAAGATCTACAATGACATATTTTTTTATCCCACTCAGAGGTTTTACAAATGTACTTTTACTGTAGTTTTTTTTACCTCTGGAGTATTTGGCATTGCTTGACTAAGAAACTGAAACTAGAAATCTTACGAAAAATTGTACTTTTTTATATCAACAATTTTAGGAAACTTGTCATCCAAAAATTTGTGTAAATAAGCGAAATAGACACAATGTTATGCATAGACGGGATATCATTCATTAATCTGATATTATCTTCCAAATATAATATCACATAATTTACAATACATCAAGAAAAATGTGTATTCCATATTCCATCATGCAAAACATTTCAACAATTAATCTAAATATCAAGTCACATGATATAAAAAGTAATTGAGCTTCAGGTTCAAGGATAGCAAAAACAATACATCATTGGCCAGCAAGGAAAATATATTACATAGTTTTTTCATTTGTGATGGCCAAACTAAATCTTGTAATATATTCTCGAAACAGTAAACCTGCAATTCACTGTGATTCAAATTCAACAAGTTCTCTCTTGGTTCATTGTCCAATCATATATGTACAAAATACAGCCATAAAACTTTATTCCCTATGTTTTAAGGACAAGAAAATATAGTATTAGTTTAAAGCAGTGCAATCGGATGTGTGCTCAAATATGCATACAGAGCAATGATGTGAACCTTATGAAGCAAGCCCAAACTTGTAAAGCACAACCCAATATTGTAAAGCATAACCCAATATTGTAAAGCACAACCCAATATTGTAAAGTACAATCCAATTTTATAAAGCACAACCCAATATTGTAAAACACAACCCAAACTCAATAACTGAACATCAATGCAAAAACTAGGTCATTATCAATTTACCCAAGCATCCTAACTTTAACTATAATGTATTTATTTCCAAATAACAAAAATTTTGTTTTATATCTGTATAATGTTTTATTTTCTGAATCTAAATGATAAATTGGTTTCATTAGTGGGATTATCATTTCTTTTGACTGAAGGAAGAAATCCTCTGCCATTTGAGATGAAATAATGGTGATGTTATATTTCAATTCTAAAGGATTTTCATTCACAATTTGTTTGAACAATGTTTGTCCTTTTAAAATGCAGTTTAATATTATTTCATTATAGGTGGCAGATGTTATGTGGGCAGTAGAAAGTGGCAGTTAGTAGGTACTGTAAACATGATAGACAAGAACTAAACTTGATGGAATAAGATCATTGCTTTAAAGATTCACATCTTTACAATCTGTTATGTGCATGTTAAAGAGGCAGACCTATTCAATAACAAGATAATACTGAGTAGGTCTGTACCCTTAATAAAATGTGTGCAATTATAATTATAACCCACATACATTGAATGTGCAAATACTAAAATATGTTTTGAAGATAAGGTTTAGTAAAAGATAAATTTCAAAATCATCTAGAATGCCAAGATATGAAAAAATTTAAAAGGGTTGTAGTCTGATCCTCAATAAACCCAAGATATTTTCAATTAATTTATTATATGATTTACACTATCAATAAACGATGGAACACAGATTCTTTTTGGGAATATCAATGTAAGAAAAACATTCCTAGCCGGGTAAGCACTATGTCAAGTTCCAAAATGGAAAAAAAAACACTTTCACCTTTTTCAATTTTAATAAAAATGCAATTGCTTCACATGAAGCTGAGATAATTACATAAAAAAATATTCATATTAAAGTCTTTTGGGTTTTTTAAGTTACGCATGTCATTATGAAATCAAAATATTTTAGGGTTATTGCGGATGAGATTCACAGCTATTAGCGATGAATAAATCAAAAGGAAGATTTTGATTCATGTTCATTATTTCAAATTATATTTCAGGAAAGTGTTGTTAAACTGACCATAGGATCAAGAATAAAATAAATTCATTTTTCTACTTTTGATGACCTTAAAATGATAATCCATCTCCCATTCTCTCTTGAAGATAAGGTTCGGAAAATGTGGTAGCTAGACACGAGACAGGCCTGATGCAATACTAAAAGAACCCCACTAGACTATGGTGTTTAAACTGCTTCTTTATTCGGTACATTAATATTCCATAAATACCAAATAAAACAAACAATTTACCAAACCTTTACCCAATCTATCGAATTTTTTTTTTTTATCAAATGTAATAATCTATACAATTTATATTTGCTAAATAGATTCACTTGTTCTTTTTATTGACATTCACATTTGATATGTATACATGTATTTGTGTGATGCAGCGAATCAATTTGTTTTCCTTAACGCACGTATAATTCAATTAATTATTTGTACATTCGGTATTTAAATTATTTATATTCGGTAAATACCGAATGCCACATTCGATAAATTTCGTTATTTTTCGATAATTTACGAGACTTTCAGTCACGTGATATATATTTGTATGATGTAGAATAGCTGCGCGGCCATTTTGCAAATCTGGAAGTCACGTGACAAAATATCGAACAACAACGCAAGTTATCGAATATTACTTTATTGCATTCGGTAAATAGCAAATTAGCTTTCGGTAAATAGCAAATTAGCTTTCGGTAAAATGCATTAACTATGTCATAGAAAAATAAACCATTTGGTAAATATAGGCAAACTTATTTCGGTAGGGTTCAAATAGAAATTCAATATTGTGCATATAATGTGTTACTCTTAAGGAATACAATAACAATTTACGCAAAAAATATCATTTAACGAATGAAATATGTAATTTAATGCACATAGTATTAGTGATTGGCTATTTTGAAAACTTAATTTGCTGTAACAAACATATAAATGTTTTTACCGAATGGAAAAATGATTTAGCGAATATGAATGTTTCATATATCGAATATATTTGAATTTAATGAATAAAGAAGCAAAAATAATGCCATACTAGACAGCGATGAGATCATAATGGATGTTTCCCTTGTTCCTCTATACTTCCACATTTCAATGTACGATTCTATACTATTGACAATCCCACTTAACACTAACAAGCCCACTGTGGTCTTACCTTTAAATCTCTATGTACAACCCCATTTAGGTGGCAATAGTGAACACTTTCTAGAATCTGCTGCATACAATTGCTAAAAATGGTTGAAAGACATAACCAAGCAATAAATAGCTGCAAGATTAGTAAACTCTGGGTGGCAAGGATATCAAAGATATCATTTTGTAAAACATGACATCATGTTATGGAACATGACATCATTTTGTGAAACATGACATTGTTTTGTGAAACATGACATATTGGCATATGTTTGTTGTATCAATCCAGAACTCGCAATTCTAAAATAGTACGACATAATTTGTTCTTGGAGGTGATGTCAATACAATAATTGCATTGTTTCCTTGAGGAAAAAAACTGTGTACTGAGGGAGAAAGATCTTTTGAAGTGTACAAATCAATGGTATGCCATGTTTCTGTCAAATGATATTTGATATGTGGTCCACGATGCAAGGATGACATCACAAATGATGATCTCATTAATTATGACATCATTAGACATGACCTCATAAATGATGACATCATCAATCTGACGTTAACTCTCAGGTAAATACTACATTCATACAGCAACTCCATCTATATACACCTATACATATTAGAAAATTAGAAATACCCATTGAGATAAAGGTAGTAAGTTATATGAAGAGAGAATTGATATAAAAAAGTAGTATGAATGCCATAGAATATGATACTGTGAGTGCAAAAACACTGATATTCTCAACCATATTGTGTGGCCTGAATTGAAGGTTGTAGCAATGGTGTAAGTTGACAATATCTAAAAGTAGAGAAGAGAGTTGAAAGTGAAGTTAGAAATAACACCATTGGTAAACCTTATTCAATTTGAAGTTTGCATTCTCTGAGACAAAACAACTCCTATCCAATCCTACATTTGCTGCTTTAATCCATTTTTCATCAATTGATCCATCCAAGCCTCACACACGTAGGACTGGTATCTCCAAGGTTAGCAATGCGATTCAACATGCTATATGACATTACCAAAACAACACTTGGGCATGGAGACCAATCACAAGCTGAGGGGTTCAAAGAATGCAAACTCTAAACCTGTAAGAGAGAACAGTCATTTGTCTGTGATAGCATGCATGCTCTGGAAAATAACCGCTGATCACAAAAAGGCAACCGCGGACCTACCTTTAGATCACGATGTATTATATTATTTGTGTGGCAATGCTGGACACCCTCTAAAATTTGTTGAATGCAGTGGCTGAAATGTGAATTAACAGTTTTCAAGAATTGAAATATTAGTTCTTAATTCAGAGAAGATTTCATGGGAGTTCAAGCAAAGATTAGTATATTAAAGCAACTTCTAGATTGTGCAAAAAAATGTGGAGGAAAAATTCGGCAACAATTTGATGGTCTTTAATGTCAAGCAGTAATATAAGTGGTTTAGTAAATATAAAAAGAAATAAGTGTCATAGGAATTAAAGATTATAGTAAATTAAACATCCTCAAAATGTTGTGCTTGAAAATTTGAGGGAAATTAAATCTTCAATATAGCTTTCAAACCAAAATTGGCGTAAATGTGCGTTACAAAGTCAGACTTGAATATTGGGTCCTGAAAGGTTGGAGAAATGCAATGAAAGCCAAATAGACTCATAAATAAAATAAAGTGAATGATATATATTTTTTATTTATATATCATTATGCGTGGATTAGAATGAATCAAGGTTAATTCAAGCTGTTTAATAAGTGCAATCACACAAATTATTTCTCACAAGAATTTCATCAACCATGCATTCAAAAAATCGAAGAGGATCAAACTGTTAAAAATATTCATATTTCTAAAATAAAAATAATGCGATAAGCTTGCAATTAAAGTATTCAGGTGACACTGATCATTAAATTCCAAGATTCTTGTCTCAAAAGTAATTGATTATTTTCAATTTAATACAAATAGGAATTCTTTTGGGCTATTCCTATATACGACATAAACTGGACTTAAATTGCGAGGAATTTAATGACCAATGAGATCTTGTGTCAGAGGGATGGGATTCTTCCGCCTGAGTCTTGAGTCTGAATCCCTTCATGGCCTCAAACGTGACTTTTCAAGACTACAAATTAACAAGGTTTACATGCATGAGAATTATAAAATTCCAAGCTAAATAGAATCTAAGGCAAATGTGAGTCAAACCTATATATGTGCACTGATGACTTATAACAAACAATATAATATATGTCATTAATAATCAGACACTGTATATATATGGGAAAACTCTCCATTAAAACAACTCAATGGAACTGACACAACTGGTTAAGAAAACCTAATAAATTCACAATTTATGGAATTGACAATAACTTCCCACATCAGCTAATTCTGCATTGTTATGTAGACTTTTATAACAAACACCCACAAGTTATTCACAAACAAGCTGTGCCATCCATTTGTAAATATAAAAGATGAAAGCATCGATAATTAAATGTAAATATTATTGTAACAAATATCAAGTATTCTAATATGGCATTTAAATACATAATAGTTTAATAAATGTTTTTAGCTTTTCAATTTCGAGTAAGTTCTTCTTTCATTTTAACTGTGTTGTATACTGATCTATATATTGTGAGTCCTTTGACAATTAGCATAAAATCATATCAAGTTTTTGATCACCAAAATCAGAACTTCTCAAAAATTACCAACCATATTGCAAGAACAGGAGATGCTCACAAAATTCCAAAATATGTTCCAAAAGTTCATAGCATGAATAATTTCAGTCTAATAGTCTTTGCCACTATTCATAAAAATTCTCAATTTAAAGAGTTTACCATTTAGATATACATTTAGCGCCTACCTTGCATCTGCTTCACTATAAAATTCTCTGGCTACAATGTCTTCAAACAATTCTCCCCCAGTTACTCTGCAATAAAAATCAAAACAAATCAAAAGCTAGATATTTTTGATCTAGATGATGAAGAAGTGTATGTAATAATTTTTAAGAGTGTTTTAGGGTAAAATTGCAAATTACCTCTACCCTGGGACCCATTACTCAAACTTTATCACTAAAATACAATTTCTAATAACGATTATCATATTACAACAACTTGTCAAAATTGGTGTAAAAATATTGAATAGAACTGGAGATATTTTCATTTTATTGATGCAAATAATAAAAATAATGGAGTCTATCATCCTGAAAGGTAATAGGGCGCATGAAAAGGTTAAAATAAAAAGAAATTCTTGTTTGGTTGACGCACACGCTACCGACGCAAACACACCTTTAAATGTTAATAATATATCTTGTAGATATTAACAAGCCTTGTAGACATTAACATGTCTCACAACTGAAAACATATCTTCTTTTATTTCCATATCATTTTCATTTCTTGTAAATGTTAACATATTTTGTGGTTAGCTTATAAGGAAGGACTAAGTGGCGCACAGAGGGCTTCAATATATATGTAGACTTTCATTTGGGATACTAATGGTCCAATTTGGTTTATGAATTTCATTGGAACTTTATAATCATGAATTACATAAACAATATGGCACATGCCAAAAAAAGCACTTCTGGTCTGTTTCTTTCTTTGATTTTGCACTATCTCTCAAAATGCATATGTAATCAATGCAGAAATGTAGTTTTGAGTTCTGCTGATAATTGGAAAACCGGCCTTGTTCTAGTTTTTGTGTAATTTTGTAAAAGTTAAATTAGATGGACCATAAATACATGGTAAGACACAAGCTTTCACACATTGCATTCCTTTGGTGCATTATGGTACAATATTGTTCTAACTATCAGATATTGATTCTTCATACAATTCTTGTTTTTCAGTCCAATAGTCTTACATCAAATCATGTACGAGCCCCTATTTCCTCTTAATCCCCTAGGATTAAGAAATACCTGACTGAATATAAGACTATCAGCTTATTTCTCAAATAATAACATCTCTACTTACAAATCAAATACTAGATAGTGAAATCCTTCATCTTGGATGCTGTCGTGTAATCTTACTGAAAATACAAAAATAACATTTTGTTAAAAATTGGGTCGTCAAAATAATATTATAATATCTCATTCAATCATTAGATCTGTGAATTCCTACCAGCTTATACTTTAGTAAAAACCTGTGTATATTGAACATTTTTTGCCATGATCAGTGTAAGTAGGTGTTCTTTACAGAGAATGTAATTTTTACAGAAGTCAGTAAAGTATGTGCGGAGGAAGGGTGTCTACTAGAAACAGGGGTTCACTAAAGAGATGTGTTCAAAGACAGGTTTTACTGTATAACGTATAGGACATAAGTACGGTAACAATAACAATAACTATGTCAACTAATCTGTTATACTAAAACATTGATCTATCATCATTCATCGTTACACATATCAATATAATAGCATTTTATTTTATTATTGCTACCAATGAAATAAAATACATAAAAATACGCATCAATCTGATTTACATTGCATATTCACAGGAAAAATATTTTATTGTCAATTTGATGTTAATCAATCTAATATTCTCAGAAATTATGCAGCAAAAACATCAATTAGATGATGATTTAACAGAACAACAACTTATAGATGTCTAAATAATGGCAATGGTGAATACTGTACATGGGTCATTGCTATACTTTGTTTTATTGAAGCATTAACTCACTGAAGATATATCTTCTGAATTTGTCATGTTGCAAAAACTATTGTTGAATTCCAATTGATACAGGTAGATCTTTAAACTTAAGATTCTTTCCTTATAGCTTTCATTCTAAGCAAGTCTTGAACAAATGGTTTTATGGAAAGCTTTAATCAGTTTGAACAAAAGTCAGACAGGAGTGTGCCTTAAGTATAGTTAGGTATGTAGAATGAACATATGGGTGTAACACTTTCCCTTGAAATATTTTCAAATACAAACGTACAGAGGAACCTTTAGAGAACAAATCTTCAGGTATTTTATAAACTATGGAATGTTAGATAAGGATATTGAAAACTCAGAAATTTTCACTAAGGAAGTTGATAATCACATACGATTAAGTCAAGATTTACTGTTGAATAGTGGGTGAGATAAATTGCTATGTATCAGGTATCCCAAGACGTCATCATGTTCTCGAGAATGGCAAAGAGCTATTTATATTGTCAAACATTTATTTATGATGTCAGATTTTTATTTTAAAAAACATATTGATGAAGTACCAAATATATGCATTCTCTATTGAGGAACTTTGATACAGAAAGCAATATAGTTTACAGAATACCTTTTATTGAGAGCAGAGACTATTCTAAATAATTAATAACAAAATGTTAACCAAAGAGTAATTCAATCATTTATGAATATATTCTGTACAGGAAGTTCTGGGTTGCAACAGGAAACCCCAGAGAGAAGATCCAGGGCTGTCTGCTACAGATCCCTTTGGTCATTGATCTTCATAATTTAAACAATGTTTCTGATTTTATGTTTGGTCTTTGGACCACTGAGAATGAGTGTCTTGTCAAGATACTTATCATATATAAAATTATCTCCATCTTGCACCACATTTAAAAATAACCTCAACTGCACATCATTGATAGGTCATCTTGAAAGTAAATATTAGACATGGTAGACATTTTTTAACAGTTTTTCAGCTGGGCAATTTTTCTAAGTTAATCTACGTACCACTGAATCAACATGCCTTTTAATCCATGCATTTGACACATCCAGACAGTCAAATATAGCTGAAATTAGGACCCCTTGAAAATTTAGGCTTTTACAGTATTCTGTATTCCTTAATAATTACCATCTCACAGTAACGATGATGAAGAACACAATATAACGAATTTTTTAGTGCACTCTTATTTCTACCACAACGCCTTTAATAATATAATAATAAAACTGATAAATGATCTTAAAGGTGGCCTTAATGCAAATGATAAACCAGAGATTGATGTGAACACAGTGAACAATATCATACCTAAGATCAACACAGGCAGCCGGTAAATTTACCAATCAAGCCCAAAGACAGCTGATTGGTTCAAGATTTATATCAAAAAACATCCCTGAAAATTTCTAAGCTATCTGTCAAGTAATGTATCTGGAAAATAATAGACAAGAAAAGCCTGCCTTTTTAGACACGATAAAATTCTCTGTAGGAAAATATGACTTTTAAAATGTTCCCGAAGGTGAATTTAATAATAATAATTTCAGTGAAGACAGATATCTCAAGAAACATCACTAGAAACCAATAAGCACATCTATTGCTTTAGTTCTGCTCAACACATCTAGCCATAGTGATTATGAGATTAGTTCGAGAAATCTATGGTGGTTTAAAGAAAATTCACTGTTGATTTATTACAGTCAGACTCTCTTGAAGTGTTCTGCTCTATATTACTAGATATTATGATATTAAAAACCATAATGTAATATTCTGTCATATCAATTCTGATCTTGGGATTTTATATTACAAGCCATTTTATCAAAAGGCTTTATAAGGAGCTGAAAACTACATAGAAGAAAATGAGCTTGGAAATGAAATGTTGAATAAAATGAATGTTCTCTTTAACTTTGGCTATTCCTATGTATCTGACATGAGTCTTATGGGTCAATGTAACAATGTATGCCCATAAACATAAGCATTTTATGTTTGGATGAGGAATGGGGGATAAAGTCCATTAACGTATTTAGACTGGCGTGCAATGGCGTGCATCTATCTAAAATGAATACTTATGATTTGAAAACATTAATGAATGTTGTTAAATTATTACATTTTAGGGAGGGGGTTGATTAACTTATTACCAAAATGACGTGCATACACTCTTTGAAAATTGTTAATCTTCATGTCTATCTGTAGTCTATATGTACACTCTAATAATCAAGTACATTCACTCATATGGGATTTACTGTCTTGGGAGAGCGGAAAAGTCTTTAGAAATTCATAAAACAATGTTGAGAATTGTAGCTCATTGCGTGTATTGTTCTCATGCTAATGATAGATGATTCGAAGAGGCGGATAACATGATGTTTCTGAACATTGATTGTTATAGATGAAGCTTTCAATGCAATTTGTATCTTAACGATATCAACTATGATGCTAAAGTAACCAAGAAAATCAATAGGAGAATAATATAATAACTTACAATAACCATACTTTTTTAAGATTATCTTCAAATAGTTTTGTGACAAGTAGGTGAAAGCAATGTCATACAGAGCTACCTGCCAATATTGTGATGTTAAAGTGAAGTCATTGTCATATATCCCATGGCATTGTAACATATCCTATGACATCGTCATTTATTCTATGGCATAAAAAACACAAAAGGTATCAATAAATATTTTACAATAGGATGTACTATGGAGTTCATGCAAAAAAAACGGTAAAATACCAAAATGCAATTATCATCTTAAAATTCTTATACATCTTTCATCCTTATAATCATCTTAGAAACACAGCGCCATCAGGTAATTTAAGTCACATAAGATATATAAATCCCCCTTGAGCCAAACCTACTAGCTATAAATCATCGAAGCATGAACCAAAGTCGTGACAAAAATTCATCAGAACTATTAACTGCAATGAATAATCTTCGCCTATCATGTACCATAAAATCTTGTGAATTTATGATTTTATAACAGAAACACATGCCTGTGTCTCTTAAAGGCTTTCTAAATTGTAACAGACTAAGTCAGTAGTTCATAAATCCAGGTGAATAATTCATTAATTTCAGTTGTTATTTCAGCCAAAGATATATGACAGGTATAGTAAATACAGTTGTATAAATAAAAGCATATTTCTATTTTCCTTCAACTAATTCTAGTTGTGTTTGGTACCAAGACATTTAAGACATTTTAACTATGAAGTAAAAGCACCGACTCCATGAAGTAAGGGCCCTGACTTTAAGAATGACTTTATGAAGTATAGAGTGTTGACTCCATGAAGTAAGAGGATTGACTTTAAGAAGTAATAACATTGACCTCATGAAGTAAGGGCACTGACTTTAAGAAGTAAGAGCATTGACTTTATGAAGTAATAGCGTCGATTTCATGAAGTAAAGACATTGACTTTTAGAAGTAAGAGCATTGTTTTTATGAAGTAAAGAGTGTTGACTCCATGAAGTAAGGGCATTGACTTTAAAGAAGTAAGAGTTAACAAGGAAGTGAGTAGACATTCCTTCCAAATAATGAATCTTTACATTCTCATTTTCAATATAGTCTGAATTTCTAAAACATATCATTGCAAGTACACAAGTATCAATACTCCCGAAGTTTTATTCTCATCAAAGTAATCACATTTTGTATATATTCTGGATTGTGTAGACAACACAGATGATATCATTTCAACTTTACTTCCTACAAGAAGCATGCTAGACAGAAATAGGTAGATAGCAGTGAGAACATGTGAACACATCTTAAATCCTCACACAGTTTTCTACTGAATAAAGATATTACTCTATCACAAAACATTATGTTAAACATCATATTGCTATTGATGATGCATAACACAAACTTGATGTCCCAGGGGGAAAACTCCCAACTGCCCCTATCTATCAATAAATATAGTTTTCAAATCAAATCAAATCAAACAAGAGCCCCCTCCCTAACCTCTCTATACCACAACTTTCCCTTATTTTCTGTGATATGTACACACATAGCCTGAGAATTTCCTTAAGTTCCTGATGTCATAAATATTGAAAACACAGAACAGTCATATGACTTTTGAAAGGTGTTTGAAATACTTTGAAATGGATGTGAGATTTGAGTTGTGAGTAAGCCTTGGTAAGATGAATCTCAGGTTGCTTTAACATTAAAGCTAAACTTAGAAGCAAACATTTCTGGATCTAAATTTGTCATGGCTTTTAGCAAGCGATTTAAAAATAGACTTGGAATCAATAGATTCTACTTGTTTTGTTTGCAGGCGTCATTCTCATTGTTTTATTATCTCCGTCACTGGTGATTAAGTTTCAAATTACCAGGAAATACAAAAATACAAGCCATTCCTATGATTAAATGTTACTGCCTGGTTGCTTGCACTACTGTGCAAGAAGAC